GTTTTGCTGTAATGTGTAAAGGTCGGAAATTACGAATTACCTTCATTTGGAGTTCAACAACAGCTTTTATCTGAAACACAAATTGACAGGAGATAGAGTACTCTACGAGCGGGGTCGTTTTTCGCTTAAGTTTTTTTCCTTTTTTAATGGTATTCTGCAGACAAGTCAGCGCAGTCAAAAGCACCACGCATATTGAGCAAAGTCAATTAAAAAAAAAAATTCAGAATATCTTATCGAATCAATTATTATATTTCATCCCAGTGACAGTCGGTAACGAGTCTTCATCTGAGTTCTTTCTAAAATGCCCGGAGACATTGTCAGTTTGCAAATGCATTTCAAACTGATTTGAAAAGGACGGTTTAGTTACTAACAAAATTTGATTAAGATATCAGAAGTGTTGATGCAATTATCATTACAGAACGAAAAACATTGCGTTTCGAACAACATTAATCGATTTTTCGAGCTAATCAGATGCTAATGAGATACATATAGCAATACCCCCCTCCGTTTTCATTTTTGCAGGCTTAGCAAAGAAAAAAGGTTCTTGTTCGCCATGAGTGAGTCAGAAAATGCGATTAACTCGACTGCTTAGCCTGCCATTCACGATTTGCATCACTGCAATAGATCGTTCTTGATTTCCAGTTGACAGTATCAGTTGACGAATGCATTTTAAACTTTCTGTAAAATAATGGCTTAGTCACTTAATGCTGGTACATGTATGCATATTTGTAATTGTCACAGCCAGCGATTTCCCCTACGTTTTCCATTTTCATGGGCCTTGCAAGGAAGAAAGGTTCTTGTTCACCATGAATGAGTCAGAACATGTGACTAACTCGACTGCCTCACCTGCCATTCACAGTTTTGGTGTTTCACCAATTATAATCACATTTTCCATGTTTTCACCTAATTTGTCCGCTATTTTGTTTGGTTATGCTTTCGTGACTCCCCTGTAGATCAATTCCGCACTCAATTTCAACTTTCTGCTTTGTTTGGGATTAATTGATGCGTCCTTAACTAATACACGTGCTGAAATTTTGCATACATGGGTGACATTGTAAATTGATCGTTATGGGAAATTAGCCTCGCTTGTAAAAGGCCGATGAGAGAGTGAAAATTCATCATTTAGTAAGCCAGGCCACTCTGAGATCCCAAGAACATTAAAGACAGGTATGGTCAAGAAGATTAAACAGTTCCCGAGTTCGAGCGTGACACAGTTGGCTTACTAGTCAGCCATAGAGGTAATCTCAGAGGGTGATTTTGTTATTGAGGTACAAGGTAGTGGTCGAGTTTCAATCATAAAAATTTCTGAAGTTGGTTATATTATCATCAAGAAACGGCAAATTCGTCTTTTTTCATGTTGCATGAGTATTGAATATTATAACAACCTATTAAAACGTCCAGTGACCATTAAAGGTTTCAGGATGGCTGACTTTTAGGGGCTGAAATGTTCATTGCTAGCATCAGCGATTTGTCGAGAACGAGCCAACGAACCCGCAACAATTTTAGATCATTGACTATAGTTTTATATGAGAAATGGAACCTAGAACCTTCTTTCGCTAGCTCCTCGAAGACAGTAAAAGTCACGACGCCTGGAAATCATGATAAAAAAACGCTTCAGAAGAGCTTTTAGTCCTAATACCTATCACATTCTTACCTGCTTTTTCGCAAAAAAAAAACAAAAAAACAAAACAAAAAAAAACGGTGCGTTTCCCTACAGTATGTCATGAGTATGTCTAGCAAAATTCAAAATTTCAAAACAGTTCACAAAAAGTATTGGGGGCTCAGTCGGGAAGAAATAGTGAAAAAAAAAAAACAGATTTGCGAGGCCTTTATTTCTAAACGAACAGACTATTTGCCTTTCCTAATGCATTGTAAACATCTTCTTTGTATACTTAACCCTTTCACTCCCACAAGTGACCAAGACAGAATTTCTCCTCACAATATCAATACAATATCAAGCAGGTAGGTGATGAGAATGGAGGAGAATATCAATTATGGGATTATTAGTTGATCCAATACCAAATTCTCTGAACTAACATCATAAGAATTGTATGGCAGATAGTAAGGAGAATTACTAATTAGATCTTGGGAGTGAAAGGGTTAATTTATGAAACGATCGAGAACTGTTAATAACAAGAATATTATTCGTCAAAATGTAAGTATCATCCGATAAGATATCTCTCCTCTTGTAGTGATAAATCTCTTTAGATACAAAGCATGTTCGTATGAGGTAAATTAGTGCTGAAGAATTATTTTGAGGAAAACTAAATGGATGTAAAAAAAAGCTTTTTTATGGTCTAAATTGATCTTTTATTCCATTTTCACCTGCTGGTGAGCTCATGGAAAAAGGCCTGGGAACGCCTTTTCTGCATTATCATAGTATTGCGCAAAAATTACAAATTACCTTAGTTAAGTACCCCAACAGCTGTCATCTGTTTTCTCGCAGCAATTTCGTAGCGACAGATTGACGCTGCACACGATAAAATACTACTTCAAACAAATATTGTTTCCGAAACGATCAGACAGGATTAAGGCGATTATTTTAAATTATGGGTTTCATAACTTTCAATAAAATTCGGCAAATAAACAAGCTCAGTCAAATACACCGCTCGCATTAAACAAAGTCAGTTTTTGAGTTGCAAAATTTCAGTCTTCAGAATATCCCATCTTTTTGAAAATCTGCATCACTTCGATAGCCTATTCTAAGCTTTCATCTGAGATCGTTATTGATTACCAAATGAAATTATTATACTTATTACGAAAACTCTAATTGGTCGAGAGCATATAATGAGCATACGTGTGAAGTTGACATCATAACCCAATATCTGCACCACATATATTAGGTTCGAGCTCAAAGTCTGCCTAGTTTTTAAGCCCTACGACCGTGTGGTGTTCTCAAACTTTTTCAGACTCTAAGGGAAGTGTTTTCTCTCGCAGACCGTTTGAAAATGTATAATAAAACAATTCTTGAATTCGGTTTTCGCATGCTATCATGAATTATGCAACCTCGTGTCTGCGTTATCTGTTTATGATTCATGAAATCATACTCAACCTCATCCAAAACTTGCTTGTCATCAGTTGAAAATGCATTTTGAACTGATTCTAAAAGGATGGCTTAGTTACTTATCAAATGTTCAAGAGATGAAAATTGTAAGCGAAAACACGACTGAAAAACAAAAAAATATTCCCGTTTCATGTATGCAACATTTAATTTTGGATGTTAGTACATGTATACATATTTGTAGTTGTCGCATGTACAGCCAGCATATCTCCTACTCTTTTCACTTTTGCAGGCCTAGCAAGGAAGAAAGGTTGTTGTTCGCCATGAATGAGTCAGAAAATGCGACTAACTCGACCGCCTCACCTACCATTTACAATTATGGTGTCTCACCAGTTATGGTCTCATATTCCATATTTTATGCCATCATCATCATCGCTTCCCTCTTGGGAAATATCACAGTCTGTGTAGTCATACTCAACACCAGATCCCTGCGGCAATCCATCAACTCGTGCTTCATACTCTCCCTGGCAGCTTCTGATCTGATAACAGCTTGTCTGGTGATGCCGTTTGACTTGGAGCTGATCATTTCATTCCAGCGCTGGATACATGGTGAAATCATGTGCAACGTATGGACTACAACATACTTAATGGCTGTACCCACGTCCATTCTAAGCTTGTTGGCTTTGACAGTTTATCGATACCGATTACTGCAAGAACCCCTGGATATCTACAAGGCATCGCCGCTGATGACTCGTAGGCGCGCCTCTATAGTCGTTTGCTGTTTATGGGCATACTCCATGCTCTTTTCACTCGCCCCAGTCTTTGGCTGGAAACGGCTTCCAAGAAGTGTTAATTATGAATACTGTTATTTCAACCTCTCTTTAACTTATTCAGTCTTAAGTTCGATGATAAATTTTGTGATACCAGTTATAATCGCTTCCTTCCTGAACTGCAGAATGTTCTGCGTCGCAATCAAGCGGGCGCATCCTCCAAAAACTGGCCGCCGAGCTGGAAAAACTAAACACATGACTAGATTGAAAGAAAAGAGAGGGAATGTTTCAGTAGCTAAACCAGAAAGCATTGAAGACCCAGCAAGGCTTGGTACAGTCCAAGAGAGCTCCAATTCACCTACCTCAGAACAACAACCTGTCGAATCTATGCGATCGCGACATGAAGCCATCCTCATCAGGAAATTACAACAACGGAACATTCGTGCAGCCAGGACAACGTTTCTGATCGTTTTCTCGTTCGTGGTCTGTTGGTTGCCTCACTCATTTCTGAGCATCACGTACATTCTGTGTCGGAAATGTGCTATCGATATCGCAAAGCATCCTGAATTGCTTACCTTCTTTCTTATGTTGGGTTATCTTAACTCAGCCATTAACCCTGTTTTGTACAGCTTTCGGAGTTCTGAATTTAAGAAGGCAGTTAAAGATTTCATTAGAAGAAGGCGCCCCTTTCGAGGTGTGCAAATCCGACCGGAGAACACTCGCGCTGTGGAAAGGCGTGCACCAACTCTATAGACTATACCATCCGTTGACGATTTTGGAGTTAATTTGACATCTAACAGTCGACTTGATTGTAAAATGCTATAGCGATTTGTGAAGCATAGTTGTAATTCTCGTGTCACAAACCTTTGAAAAAATGAGAGTTAGAAGGAGAGCGCAAGTAAAAGTGCTGCTAGGGGAGAAATAATTTACATATAATTTCACTTTTTTTTCTCTCCCAAGTTATTCTGTTTCTCTTTCCTTCTCACCTCTAATGTCTGGTTTAACACCATTAACTCAATATTCCAAATAAAGTTGAAATTGCATGATCTCTTTCACAGTTTGGCCCCTCAGTGTTCATGATCGCTACATCACAATTAGTATCTACTGTTTCAAATTCTCAATTATGGATCTTAAGAACAGATTCCTCAATAGCTGTAAATATCACATCCACAAGGAATAAGCAACTGGGTTAACATTAGAACTTGGTATCGCCACAAAACAGTCTCAGATAGCTATTACGGTGTGTTTATTGAAGACTATAAACTTGATCAAAAAGTAATCAGAAGCCAAAACCTTAACAAACTATTGAACCGTATTCGGTTGACTTGACTTATTTTTTGTTCAGCTCTACTTAATTTACCTTACTAAAATATAATACGACCTTTTACAACCTGTTAGACAAGTCTATTTTTTACCATCGTATCTGGTTACTAACGCTGTACGTTTTACACTCTTCTATGTTTAACATATCTGGAGTTTAATTTAAATTTATAGCTTATGACCTACTTATCTCCTAAAGACACAAAAATAAAATTTAATTCTAAACGTTGTTCACTACTGTTACTGAAAATGATCATAAAAAACTACTTCGCTTTTAACTTTTTTTTCCACTCTTTAACTCAATTATCCTGAACGTCAGTTACTTCAGCCACTTTACTGAATGATGATATCAGTTATTCCCTAAATCGAAAAACTCCTCCACACGACCGCGATCATCCACTCTCCAGCGGTATTCCTGCCACTGGTCATTGTCATGCGCACGCACCACCCTTAATGTTTGCTCTTCACGGCCAATCTCTGCGCGGACGTTCAATGGGGCTCCATCCTCTCGAGTTAACGAAAAGAAGTTCAAATTGAGCCGGGTTGCAATCTGCGGGGTAAAAAACATGGAAACAGTTCTCATTGCATCATGTCCAGCAAGGAGTAGCGCCCGCTAAAAATACATGCAAGAAGAGGCTGTAATGTGCAAACGTGAACACACCCACAAGTCGGTGGTGAAAAGTAATACTGTGGGAATGGTGGTAACCTGCGATCTGGCGTTTTTTTCCCTCGGCGAGCGCTAGTGCAAAAACGCGCGACTTAAAAATAATTTTTTCGGAACAAAAATGTATGGGGGGGGGGGAAGGGCATGTACATATGGGTTGCGGGGGAAGGTTTTGTTTTAGACGGTTGCAGGTACTAAAAGCTTTGGATCTGTCGAAGGAACTCATTTAATCTGATGTAAAGAGGATGAGAGATAGCAGATTCAAACCCTTACAATGCCGTGAAGGTCTTCAGCAAGACGTCCATAAGCTGTGGTGGGTCTCTCACGGATTGAAAACAGCCATTTTCCACTGTTGTCTGTGATTTGAATCTTTGCGAGATCTAAAATATCAAAAACCATAGGCATTAATTCTACAGGTTACTCATCCAAAAAATAAGTAAATATATAAAATCTACATTCTTGGAGATCAGTGCGATTGTAGTAGCAATCAGCTAAATCAGAAATACAATCATGTAGCTTGTTTCTACAGCATTTTTCGATTGAGTGTAGTAAAACCAAACAGAGAACCAAAACAGCTAATCAGAACAAAGCTACATATGGCAAAGAGCCAATAAGAACTCAGAGAAAAGACATCTATGCTGTATTCCGATGACGTGACGCAAAGGTGAGATAAACAACTGCAGAAGAAGACTTAACCTATGCACCATTTATAAAGTCGTCATGTAAAAACCAAAATAAAAAATGAACTATAGCGTGAAGGATAAGTAACAAAACAGATACCCAGGGATATTTGTTTTGATATAATGAGTCACTATTGGATAACCACCCTGTCCCGGATCGCAATGTAAGACTAAATGCCTGATATACATACAGATTTTATACAGTTAAAACCCTTAACTCCCAATATCTAATTGTTCATTCTCCACTCTAGCTGCTACACATTTCCTAGTACATTAGTTATGAGAATTTGGTATTAGATTAAGATAACAACTACTACCTGATAAGCTTGAGTATTCTTATCACATATTTGCTGAATAATGTACGGATATTTTAGGGAGAAGTAACATGTCAATCACATCCACGTGTTAAAGGATGAAGACAACACAGGAAATGTAAATATGAATACATTGCACACCAGCAGAACAATAGTGAAAAATTTTTTTCTAAAAATTTGAACTAATCAATAGTATTTAAGATTCAAAGATTGAAAGTTTACCTGTGATGGAATACGACCAATCATTGGGCATACTTGATGGGGGCAGATCATCGATACTTTGTATTTCGAGGTGATTTAACCCTGGAAAAGAAATTTAAAACGTATGTTACCTTCTGTATTTTCTCATCATCAAGATTAGCATTTGTCCAAAGAAACTTTTCCCAACTTAAAAAATGCACTTTGTGTCATCTCCTTCAAAGAATCTTTGTCAATAAATTCCTTACCACCAACATTACCCATGAAAACTCTTAAACAGAATCTTAGGTTATTTGTCCCACTTGGTATGAAAATAAGTTAAAAATATATATATATACCAACCTAAAACTTGGCTGACATCAAAATTGTCATCTCTCAGCTGGTTCACATCATTTTCACTTACATCAGTAACCAAATTGGAAAGCACATGTCTTTCTAACTCATCAGCCGAAAGACTGAGAACCAAATCTGATAAACAAAACAATCAGAAAACAAAGTGCAAGTAACTCTAGGGACTGACTTTTCTCTACTTCTCTACCCACCCCTGTTAGATATTGAAAGGATTCTTGGGTGAGAACATCTTATCCTGTTTGTCCTGTCTGTTCATTGACCTTCTACTGTATCAATGTCAAATGGTACTAGTTCTCCTTGGGGCTGCTGTGGGGGGGAGGGGTGCACACCTTCATTAACCTCCCTCCCTCACCACAATAAGAGAATCAAGTCAAATTTTGAGGAGCCAGTTGAGCCACTTCTGTCACTATATGGAGGGAGGAACTATGCAATTAAAGTGTCTAACTTTCAGTTTTAGAGCCCCTAATTTAAAATTAAAACAAACTTAAGGGTTTCCTTTGCAACAAAGCAATCCTTCTAGCTATGAAGTAATTTTCAAAAGTCCTTACCACTTTGAAGTGATCGAAACTGTTGCTCGACAGAGAGATCAGCACCCAGCCAAGGTCCATTAGGGGGGAAGATTAACCCATCCACTTGAAAATCATCCGTCTCTGCCAAATCATCATCATCATTATCATCATCATCATCATCAGTGCCATCATCATAACAGTCACTGAAGTTTGCATCATCACCCTCCAGATCTGAGGCACAATCATCACACAGTAGCTGGTCCGCAGACATTTCTGACACAATGGACTTCAATACATTACTTGAAAAAGAGCTAATGCTGGAAGCACCATCAGAATATTGCTCTGTGTCCCCCCAGGTTGGAAGGAGAAAATCTGATGTATCTGGAGCTGAAACTAACATAAAAGGTGGTGTGTCATTCAAAAATTGTACTGAACACGAACATTTTATCTTGCCCTGTGATGACAAAATTCCTGGCTTCCAAATAATCAGTCTTGATGGAAAGCATACAGAGCCACTTTACCAGGCTGAAAAGTACAGCAAGAAATCTAGCTTACTTTTTGGGATTGGATCAGCATGCGACTTCTTTTGGGAAGCTTAAGCCAGTAAGAAAAGCGACTACTCCACATGACTGTCCAGTATAAAATTTAAAGGAGAATGGAGCACAGTTGTGCTTATGTCTTTCTCAAGAAATGGATTCTTCATGGTTATTAAGTATTTAGCAGCTTAGGAGGGCTTAAAATAGTATAAATGCATTTTTATCAATAAAAATGATTTGAGAGGGCAGTTGACTAGACTTGGGCACTAAATTACATTGAAATCATCCCTGTGGATACTGTCAAGGCTACCTTACCTGCCATTATTGCTGGATGTCTCAGCAGCTGCCTTGCAGTCTTACGATCAGCTGGCTTTAGAATGAAGCCCTGGCTGAAGAGGTCCTCAACCTCTGGGCTGCATGGAGGAGAAAATGGTGGTTCCTTAGCCGTACCAATCTGTGAAAAAAATAGATGCAGCTAAGGAAGGTGAACAACAAACCATATAATATCTATGCAAACTGAAAACTTTTATGTCAGGTGCAGAAAAAAATTCTGAGTCCCATGATATATGACAACCTCAGACCATTGTATTCCAAACTCAGCTGCCCTACCAATGAGCCACAGAGACTCTATAGTAAGCTAGATCATTTGGAGGTTTATAAGTGATACATATATTGCATACTGCTATGATCAACACGGAGGGAAGTATCATGTGTACAAGGAGAATAACAAACATGGTAAAATTTACCCTATAGATCAGTGAACCATGACATGAATCTACCCAAGGTGGACGTCCTGCCAGCAGTTGGTAAAGCAGGCACATGATACTCCAAATATCTGTACTAAAAGAGTGGCATTCACTCCGACACATCTGATGATATGAGATAAAGAAACTTTTCAATTTGTAAACAATAATCAAGATACTAGCCATGATTCAAATTAATTTGTTAAAAACTATAAGAATGTGAGAAAAGAGCATGAAAGATGCATAAGAGTTGCTCGAGGCATAGCCAAGAGCAAATCTAGCTTCTTGAGTGCTCTCCAAACTTCCCAAGTGCTTCATATCTTGTTGAATGCACAGCTGACGTATGAAACAATTGTTTTATAACATTTTCAACCCCAGAATTTTTTTTCTCGAGGGATTTGTTTGCTGACGTCATGAGCATGCACAATAAGAATATGAAGCACACTCGCGCAATGGAATTTGATTAGACAAATTTACAAGCTATGTTATAAATTAATTTGTTATAGACCATAAGAAAGTGGGAGAAACCACAATGACTATATCAAAGAAATAAACAACCCCCTTTAGTCACATACAGATGTGTGATACACTTCTACAACAAGGTTTCAATTTAAGTTGACTGCTACGTTTACCTCTGGGGACATGAAAGGTTCTGTGCCTCTTGGGATGTTATCCTGAAGAAAGCTCTCACATCTGATGCTTGTTCCAAAGTCAGCAAGTTTCACATGTTGACCGGTCTCATCCACAAGAACATTACCACCTGTGCACAAAAAAAAAAACACACTAACTGACATAAAAAATTACAGAATGAATACAAGTGAATTTGTTCTTGTAAATACACTCTGCTGAATGAGCATTTAGTGGAAGCCCAAAATTGGAATAACCAAGCATAAGCTGCTCTTTGATCTGGACACTTGTTTGCTAATTTAGACTTTGACTGCCATTTGACTCATTCTCACAAATGCAAAGTGATGTGGCTTGTAGCTGACAACATGAAAACAAAAACAAAAAACAAAAAACAAACAGCATAGGTTGATGTTACAAAAAATAAAAGAGATAAAAAGATCAGCAAATTTTTTTTTTTCATTTTATGTAAAAATGACTTTAAAGAATTGAAGTAGTCTATTTGTAAGCATTAAATTGACAATGTAATCCGTTTAATTTTCTAACAGATGACTTTTCATAATGCTTGCAGATTATGTTACCAAAAGCAAGCCACTATGGCAGCATCCAAACAGCCATTAAAACAGCCCATGGACAGCACTAAATGGGAGCCATAAGTTTAGCTTCCATTATGTCACAATGTTTTGATTCATTTCAATGACCACACAGAGTTTCCTTTAAACAGAAAGACACTTCAAAGATACCAACAACAATATCCCAAAAGGTATGTAACAGAGATGATTAAGGAGAAAGAAGATTACAAACTTGAAAAAATGAAACCCAAATTTTCCAAGATTCACAAACATGATGCAGCTCCATGAACATGCATACACTAACCCTTTATATCACGATGCAGTATTCCTTGAAAGTGCATAAAGTCTACTGCAGACAGAACTTTTCCAAGGACATGGATTGCCCAGATCTCATTGTGCTCCATTTGTCCAGCATACTCTTCAACAGAGCCACCTAAAAGAATGAATGAACACAATCACACTACTGCACAAGGATTATATACAAAATCAACACAAGAAAACATAAGATGAACTTGTAACTGTGCGGTGGTTTGAAGCAAGAAAACTTACTCCCTTAAGAAAATTAAGGGAGTAAGTTTCTAAAGAAACTATTGTGTCGCATGGGTAGGGAGTATTACACAATAATTTGGTTTGATCAACTAAGTTGATAATGTGAATTAGCCACTGCAAAGAGCTTTTAAAGCTGAATTTTCAAGCGTAAGGAGTACTGCTACTCCTCCTTCTACCCAGCAAATTTTTTCAAGTTTCACTACCAGTTGCGAGTACCCCTTCATAATCCTTGATGAACAGAGGGAGGGAGATGTTAGTAAAGTGCCTTAGTAAAGGAGAGAACACAATAGCCTGGCTAGAGCTAAACATTTTGCAAGGGAGTTTTTGGGAAAGTCCATCAGACAACAAAACTTTTACTCTACTACAACTTCATGAGGGCCCCAAATATCCATCAGGATGCAAAACAGACAATTTTTTCAATAGGTAACCCAGCATGTATCCTAACATTCATTTCAAACTTATCAAATTAACACAATGAAATCGGGGGACCCTGTACTAAAATCAAAGTTACATATACACAAAACAAAAAAATTGTGCATACCACTCATATATTCCATGAATATAATCACTGTGCCACTCTGTCTGTATTTCATGGCACCATACAATTCCAAAATGTTTGGATGTCGTCCAGACAGCCCTCCCCAAATTTCAATTTCATTACTTTCAAACTTGCCGATGGGAATCTGCATGTCAAAAAATATCACATAAGAATATATCATCATATACTCAAGGTTAATCATTAATTATTTATTATGAATGTTGGAGACAAAGCATTAAAATGAATGAATGAGTAGCAGTAAAAACCAAATGATTTTCAATGGTATTAAAAGTGAATGGAGTCCAATTCGGTCTGTTATCAAACTGACAGACAGTTGTGAAGCAGGGGTCCAATTTGTTAATCCTGTGTATGTTTACAGACAGTATTGAATGCATGAAATTCAGTCACAAGATGACTTAAGGGGATAAGTGTTAACTGTCCTCTTCAAACACTTCCCTATAAGCATTAAAAACTGCAAATCTGGCTGCTGATGACCAATCACCTTTGAAAACTTTTTAACAGCAGTAGTTTTAAATAAATGATAAATTGACAAACTTGTTAAAACTTAAGGGCATGTAAATGAAGGGGGTACATGTAAGTCTCTAGAGAGATATCATTGCAGTACTGTATCACTGGTGTAGTTTAACAAGAAAATCTGGTTTTCTCAACTGAGTTGATTAGTCACCTTAAAGAGTTTGTAACAGTTACTTTTTGACCAGTAGTTTTTGCTAAATGATAAATTGAGAGAGATAACTTGTAGTACTGTAAACAAAGGCGTAGTTTAACAAGAAAATCTGGTTTTCTCAACTAAGTTGATAGAGTAAATTAGCCACCTTAAAGAGTTTCTGACAAAGGGCTAATGCTCAAAATGTCAGCTTTGAAATTCTTTGTAGTGGCTAATTTACCTCATAAACTCCATTAACAAAACCAAATTATCACATTAAAACAAAAATTATTTAATTTATTTGAAAAAATCATGTACCTTTTTGATGGCAAAAAGAGATTGGATTGACAAATCACGGCAAAGATAACAACGGCCACAAGAGCCCCCTCCAATTGAATGAATGACTTGCCAATGGGTTTTCTCAATGTAAGACCCATTCTCACCAACACCCAACTTCTCCTGAAAAGAGCAGATAGCTACAGTTTGTTATGAGAAATTATAAATTTAAGCCTGGCAGATACCAGCCATAGCAGCTGTTCCAGTTGAACAGCCTATCAAGACAGACTAAGAAGAGAGAGACAGAGACTCCCCCCCCCCAATAATCTGATGAATACAAGTAATTCCCCTTTGCACAAAGCAGATGCTACACAGCCTCTTGTGAATTGATTAGTGATCACCGAAGCATTTAGTGCCATATCAAGATAATAATAAACCCCAAATGGCATGTTACTTTCTACTTGTTTGCTAAATAATGTATTTTAAAATTACAAGGAGAAAGAACCTCTTAATCCCTTGGTGGAATTCGAAGGGAGATTTAAATTCCTTTATATGGGAGGTTCAAGGAAAATGTAAGTTATTATTTAAATATCACTTATGGGAATTTGAAGGTTTAAATTCCTCTATATGAAAGGTTCAAGACAAATGTGGGTGATTCAGGGTACATGTATATTTACATGTACGTCAAGCAGCCATCTAATGGAAGTTCATCTTCCTGAGAGCTGAAATGCAAACAAGACATATGACCCAGGGTTAATTAGCAGTACCTGGTTCAAGGGCCAAATGACCTCTCCTAGTTCCTGCACCAAATCACTTCCCACAGTCTGGCTTGTACAAGTATTTGTCACAGACACATCAGCCACACTCAATGGGGCACTTGGTGAACAGTCTTCACATTCAGCCTGGATGGATTCCTGGATAACAGGACCTCTGGTAACTTGGACATCTGGTGGGCGGTCCACATGGTACTGATTCCATCCATTTGCACTTCGCAAGGGTTCACAGTTAGATGTCAAGCTTCTATCAGCAATTAGGATGTCTTTAACTGGATCATGAACTGTGTCTTCTTGGGCGTTTGCAGCTTCCAGTCTTGTCAAAACTTCCTTATAACCACCCAGGAACTCTTCACTGTCTTCATTTGTGGGTGTTGAGGGGGGTGTGGGTCTGAAGAACAACTGATCAAGGGCCCATGTCCATTTCCTGTTATCTGGAAGGCAGTTTGTACGCATGTACTCCCTGATGTAATCACACCTTGCAACTACACATCGTCCTAGAGGAAGAATGCACTTTGAAACATGGTTCCACAGCATATCCTTATAACTGATGCAGTCTTCACATCCACCCAACACACGCATTCTGCAGTTTTGCGAGTGGTCAAGCAAGTATTGGATTAGCTGACAGAAGGCATCAGTACATTTCTGCCACTCTCTCTCAGAATTCAAGTTTCGCCGACAGGTAAAGGCTTTCTGCAGGTCTTCATCTGATTCACTCCTGCAGATTTCCTCTGATTCATCCTAAGAAGAGTTCAAGTGAAAAGGGAAAAACATATTATATATTACTTGTCACAAATACTTTGGCAACAAAATCAAATTCAACATATTAAATGCTATGAATATAAACCTACCCCCACATACCCATTAAATTCTTTAATTCCTCTTTGATTGGGGTTTCAAGTTTTTTCCAGAAAAAAAATTTGCATTGGAGAACTATGTTTGAACAATGGTTTTCAAAGACATTCTAAGTTAATTCAAGATACCTGTGACTCAATGGGTAAGAAATGTGAGTGAGCTTCCATCTCAGCTGCAGTAACATCAATCCGCAGGTCCTACAATTTCATACAGAAGTTTAGTCAAAACAAAAAGTTGTGCTGGTACGAAGAACTTTCATGTTTTTTTAAATGGCTGATCTAGGCTTGATTCGTAACCAGAATGGACATTGAACTCTGAGATAGAAGAATGAGAATTAAATTTTTTCCACATGGCATTTTCAAAAGCATGACACAAATAATTTGAATTACTGTTTTAGCAAGGGCCATTTTGGTTGCTATGCCAACTAGAAAAATTAAATGACAACTTGTGTTTTGCTGTCATGCAGCCAGTTTCAGTTGCCAAATGGTCACTTTGAAAAAAGTCGCACTTGGAACCCTGTCTTGCAACTGAGATATTCTCTTGATGCATTTTGTGTCTGTGAAGACAATACACCTGTTACCAACTGAGTTCAATATACGCATTGTAGGCTATGGCTGCCTTTATCTTCTCAAATTTATGGCCCAAGCACAAGGCACACTGGTCATATATCCAAGCAGAAAATCTCAGTTACAGACCAAGAAAAATTAAGCAAGGGTAGGGTGTTGGGTTCAAACAGAAGGGGAACAATTTAATTCAAGCAAACTTTTAAACTTGGCAGCCTTAGAGTGAAATAAATTGTGTTACCTCCAAAATTGACGAATCAAATCAAATGTTTTAACTGAGAAATATTAATAATGATACATTAATTTTCAGAGACAAAAGACGAGCTTCCCTTTACCTTGTTCGTAAAACATCATGAGAGCTTTAATTAACCTGTTGAGCAGCTTTCTTGGCATTGTCAGAACATGAACGTTTGTCATTTTTCTGTGTAGATGATTCAACACTTTTACCAGGCATTGTGCTGCAGCTACTTGAGGACTGTGGACCAGACTGTACACCATCTCTCCAACTGTCATCTGTGATAAACATACAAATTAACCCAGTGGTAAATTAAAATGCTCCAAAATGGATATTCCAAGTATTTTTTTCATAACAGTAGTAACTGATTTTATATTCAGTATTGATAAACTAGGTAAAATATGGCTTTTATCTTATCCATCAAATCTATGACAGAGGAAGAATAATCTCCATAATTTTCTGGACACAAATTTAAATCAAACAGTAACAGTTAACCCTTAAACTCCCAAGATCTGGTTGTGAATTCTCCCCTCTAGCTGCTACACATTTCTTTGTAAATCAGTTGCAAGAATTTAGTGTTAGATCAAGAGAACAACTTCTACTTGATAAGTTTGAGTGTTCTCATTACCTGTTTGCTGAATAATGTAAGGATATTATAGGGAGAGGCTACATGTCAATCATTTCTAGGATTTGAAGGGTTAAGCTGATCATAGGAGAGGATAATCCTAAAATGAGTCTACATATGGGAAAGCCACCGCATAAAATACTCAAAAAAACCTATTCTCTGGATAATGGACTCCTAATAAAACATATTTATCAATTTTTTTTAGAAGTGGTATGTACCACTTTCAATTAAAGTTGGTAGCCTATCAAAACTGCCAGCTGGTCTATTATCTTAGGCCACATACTTTCACATCATAAGTGCTCATGAAAAATGGTACAGTTATTGAAATACCCATATAGAAATACCATCAAACAGAACTGTATTGCAGCCATTCTCCAGTTGTCAATGGAATTAAATGCAAAACTTATTACCAAAAAGTTTAGATAGTAAACTAATTCAGGTCTGCTTTTAAGTTCCAGTAAAATTACAAGTCAGAACACCTGGGAACATCAATTGAATGCATATCCCAGTCATATGTGTAATCTGCCAAGCAACATGGCATTGACATTACACTTGCTGCCTGCTCTTTCTCATTTGCATTAAATTTTAAAACTTACTGACAGCCCTGGTATTCAAATAATCAAGCAGTGGAACACATTCACCTACCAGTTCTGTGAAATTCGCTACAATCCTCCTCATTGTTGCAGGAACCATGACTACCATTATCACCATCATTTTCCTGACCCTGTTCCTTGGGCACATGCTCACTTTTGTCCTCATTGTCCATGTCACTACAGCTACTACCTTGACAGCCACCAATGCGACCAGTCTGCTTCCTGTTATCATCACCATCTCCATCATCTCCTCCACTACCACTACTGCCACCTGAGTAGCTGATGCTCCCATTGCCACCCTCCGCCTGTGGGGAAGGTTTAACTCTATCTGGAGGTGTCTGATTTTCATTCTTACTTGAAGCATTTGTTTTATTCTGAGTGCTTCCTGTATCTGCTGGTTCTCTGGTTAGTAAACCCACAATGACATTATCACAAGATGATGTTTTCAGTGTCAGATTTTCTTCCTGGGCCACAACCCAGTCATGCTCCTTAGGAATTTTCATGGTTTCCTTTCCAGTCCATGGGACATGTAGGTTGGCACTGATCACAAGAAAACAAAATGCACAGTTACCAACCTATGCAGTCTTTAAATGCAGCCATGTGTTGAAATTTTGTGATATTTTGTCAACATGCAAACTATAACATATCATCACATACAGTGGGCACTGTACTTGTAAAATCACAATACAACACAAACATTGCACTGTTACAGTCTCTATGAAACCAATGCAACAACATACATGGCAAATAACGAGCTGTCATTTAGCATATATGTTATAAAGAAGGTGTTTTAAGTTTGTACATACATTCATTTAATGCCCAGGTTTTTTTCACTCCAAATGGCATTAAGAAGACACTTGCAAATTTCGTACTTTAACCAAAGCTGAACTTATTCTCATCACAGTTCCGTAATTCAACTCTCCTTTTTACTTATTGTAACGATTGGTTTAGACAGAAAACAACAGTCTGAATTTCCTTTCAGTATGATATAGAAAACAAACAACTCTAGCATTTTGTGATGCCTTACAAATTCCGCAAAAACATTGGGTACCGACAAGCGAGGGAAATTTCCCATCCTAAAAACTTTCCCTAGAAAAGAATATTTACGAACACCAAACAACATATGCTTCTTAAAACTTTAAAACAACAGTGCGTAACGTTTCAAGAGATATTAAAGCTTGTCGCAAATCTCATTAACCTCTACACGTGAAGAAATGAACTATCTAGTAAGCTATCTGTATTCAAAAACTGAAAGAAATTTTTCCTTACTCTGCTTCGCCAACACGCTCTCGTATTCCTCCTTTCGAAGAAATCCCCGATTTGACAGCATCCCAGAATGATGAAGAGTCTACAAGGGACAAAAATGAGAGATAGGTCAGCGAATAAACGTTGAAATGTAAGCTGCAGTAAACAGTTGAACGAGTCTAAATTCGATTACACAGGAAGAGGAGGGAAGCGTTGTTAAATTGGCTAATTACTTACTTAATCCCGCCGCAATGTCACCAGCTTCGTCTTTTCCTGCAGCTATGTTCGTGTTCTTGCGTCCACGGTCACTTAGGAGCGTGATAAAGTCTTGGATTCTAAACGGAGACAATTTGTTTCGGAAGTCGGACGGACGCACATAAACATGGGAGCTGCGTTCGGCAGGCTTCACTAGGTCGCTTTCAAGCGCAGAATCAGCTTTTGATACTCCAGAATTCATGCTTTCACTATCGTTTAATGTAAAGGAGTTCTTTGTCTGACCATCTCGAGACTCTGACGGGCTAGAATCATCGTTTTCCAAGAGAATATTCCGCCAAAGTTCACTTCCTTTTCCAACCAGATAAATGATGCGGGCAAAGATCGCATCACACACAGGAATATAAACGCAAGGTTGAAGAAAGATCTGTGAATTTTGGGAAATCCACACTAAGGCTTGTACAATCAATCGGAAAACGTTCATTTCTGTCCAAGAATTGGTACGTGTTACCTTAAGAGGCGCCATTTTGAGAATGAACGAGAAACGATGTGTATGGAATTCAAGGAGTAAAAATCATGTGATTTATCACGTGAGTGGGGGAATCCCTAAACTGATCAACAACCACAACGTAAGCAATATCCGATCTTTTTCTTTCTCCTTCTCTCTAAATACCCCGAGCTTGTTGAGTTTCAGGTTCACGATTTTTCAAATTATTCTCTTTTTTCCCCAGGTTATAAAACAATGCTTTAAACGTCTATGCCTTTTGGCAAACAACACCGAAAAATGTTTTGGTTCTGCCCTTTTAAAAAATTAAGTACAAAACATTTAAATGATTACGTAAGCGTCGTTTCAAAACACGAAACGTGATTGAAGATTGACACGTTTCCCGCGCTTTTCCTAAAGGTTATGTAACTGTTCGGAAGCAAGTGAGACAGCCAATAAATTCAGATTATTTTTCAAGAAACTGCTTTACCGTGCCTTAAGGTCATAAGGTGAGAAGATTAACTCGTCACTAGTAAACACATGTCAAATGAATTTCTTCCAAACATTCATCGAGAACAATTCACTTTCCTCTAAACAGAGGATCCGCTAAACTTTGCCTTGCCACTAACAGCTGTATTTAGTTTTAGCTCTGTCCTGTTTAACGTAGCTCCTGAATGAACTCATATCGTGAATTTAAACTGTATCTTTTCGAAAATTTCTTTAAAGTGGGGCTATTCTAATGCGCCATTTATTTTTCGAGAAACGTGAATTTAATGAATGATTTTACAATGTCAGTGATCCGAAGGTTGATCCACGACCTAAAAGCTTCGCTTAATTTGTAACTGTAAAGTTTCGCGTGATCCAACCAAGGGTTCGCGTGACCTATGCTTACACAGATGGTTTCGCGCGTGATCAATAAACAACTTTCATTACGTGACCGATATTCATGATTTTATCAATTCATCCGCGTGATTTAATTTGAATCCCAAGTCCAACGGAAGATTCATAATTTAAAAAAATTTGACTTCCTTGGGCGAATTCCGAAAAAATTGTAACGTCTGCCATTATAAAGCATTATTAGAGAATGTGCTGTGTTTTTGAGGAAAATGGCGATCTAACTATTTGAAAAATTCAAATGATCACAGGAAGGGGGAATCCTTCGACCTGGTGGCAAGTTGTTTTCCTTTTTTAGTAGAGCGGTATACAGTTACGTAACAAAAAACCACTTCCACACTCACAACGTGATTTGAGAGGGTCACGTTGCGTCTCTCAATCGATTGTATAGTAAGTTCTTGCAATTACAGTAGAACCTCGATTTAACGAAGTGTTAAGGGACTGGGGAAATTTGTTCGTTATATTGAAGGTTTGTTATATCAAAAACATCAATTTAACGAGTTTGCGGGAAAACAGCTAAAATGTTTGTTATATCGAGGTATGGTTAATAATTGATTTTCTTTCTTTTTTTTTTTTTTGTTCGGTGTGACGTTGCGCTACTTGGCAATTTGGGATCGGAACGATTATTGTAAATAACATTCGTGCGTTTATGCCGATATGAAGAATTATTCTTCACAATTTTTCTCTTGATAATTAAACTAGTGACCACTCTGCGAACAGCAATTGTAAATTTTTTTTATTCTCCGACGCGTTTCGTCTAACTGTCGTAAACTTCATTAGAGAATTTTTTACAATTAACACTAAACGCCTGTATTTGTATGCCATAGTTAGCGGCTATTACGGTTGGCCGATATCAGAAACAGAGGCAGGCGAAGTTGTGAACAATTTGGAAAATTTTTCAAGCAAGGTGTGAAACATATTTGGGAGCCACGGTTTTAGTTTAGTGTTAACTTCAAAAACTCCCTGAAAAAGTCGACGACAATTAGACGAAACACGTCGGAGAATAATGTAATTTCTGACGTTTGAGTGACTTGGGAACGAATTAGTCAAAAATTAATATTCTGATGGCACGTCGAAGAGGTTCGCTTGGGATCATGGAAGTTTCGGATTATTTAAGCGTTTCGCGGGAAAATTAAGTCATTCTAGGTCAGTCAGTGTTATGTTCGACCACTTTTTTTTTGTTTTTTGTTTTTTTGTTGTTGTGATACAATTTTCGTTTTCCAAATCCCTGTAAAATATCACTTCATTCATTGATTTTTCTTGGTGATTAGCAGTTTAACCAGGTTAGTTTACCCTTTCCTCGTGGTATTGTGCTGCTGCATTAGATGAAGAATACGTTTCCACATATTTTTTGCCACTTCTAAAGAGTGGTATTTTAGTGGTTTTTTGTATCTGGCGTAGCACAGGTTCTTTTTGTAGGGGACTTAGTTTTCAGTGTACTCATGTTAAAATCATATCAGGATGCGTAAACTACAAGACTGGCTGACTCATCCTATATAAAGTTTTCACATTGAATAACTCGTCTGAGTGTAGTCAGAATAAGAATTTTTACAACAACTCGACCGTCCCACGTGATCTTGCTTACGGGATTTCATATGGTCAGCGGTAAAAAACCTCGATGAGTTGTGTGCAATCGTTTGTTCAATGAAGGTAAACGATGTTTAGTGACAGTGAATGAAGTATATTGAGGCAGAATGATGCTAGATGACGGTGACTTGAAAAAACAAATTAATTTGGTGTCAATTTCACTAAGTTAGAGTTAATATATGACATTTCCCAGCACTCCTGGCAGTAAGGATTTCTTCTGGAATGAAATATTCTGAATCCTTGTCTCTCGAGCCACTTTGCTATACTGTAGTACTGCCTCAGCGCTTCTGGTGTTAGCATGATCACATGATATTCTACGTCGAGCTGTCTCACGTGACGCAACAAAGTGCCTTGGCTAAGCATATGACGTAAGCACTTCCACTCATCAGATTCAATGTCCATCTTTAGAATGTCAATTTCTCTCTAAGGACAGTAAAAAGTGTCGAAGAATAGGAAGGTTTGATAACGAATGGCTATTACCTCGCCAACTTGGACTGTATTTCGCAGTATTTCTTATCATTATGTAAATAACAAAATGCACAAATCTTTATTTGTTGGGCGGTTAATTGACTGGTGCGGTACATAACCGTCGGATGTGGCTTTCCCAATTACATGCAAGATACGTGTACTCCGAGAACTGGTCAAATTGAACGGTAAACTGGCCAATAGAAATAATGCATCAAATCCCACTAGCCAATGACTATGAATTACCTTACCAATAATAACCAATCAAAATCAAGGAAAATATGAAGTGAACAAGTTATCCAGCTTCGGTTGAAATTTAGATAGTTGGACAGCTGACTTTTCACACTGCCTTTCAAACTTGCAGACAAGTAAACTGAAATGAGGATAGACGTTGAAACGAAAGAGGACTAAATTTTCACCGACCCACCCACCTTTTTTATGTTTGTAGCGTTAATAACAACAGAATCTTCAAAGTCTATGCTATCTCAGCAGGAATTTAAACAAATATAATACCTTATCATGACCTAGTTCCTGTAAAATGGCGTCTAGCGTTCTTGTCTTCCATCCATTCCTGTCAAATGGATTAATAGGGGGAGGATCCTTTTGTCCTTCGAGATTCTCGTCTGACAGGGCTAGGTTATAGAACATTACGCCAGCACTATGGTTATGGTCTTCTTTTCCCATGGAGGGATCAAAAGCAAACACCCTGCAGCCATGTTCGACCATTTTTTCATCAAAGGAAAAGTCATCCCCTGTTCTATAAGGAATCAGCAGCAAGTAAATATCTTAATTCTTTTGAAATTTAAAGTTTTAAAGTGTTTTAAAAGTTTAAAGAAAATGTAGCAACATGCAGGCGTAAATTTAATCTTGCTTTGATTGTTTCCTGAAGGCAAGCTCGAACCGTTGAGGTCATCTCACTGATCACCGTCGAAAAAAGGCAGGTAGTCACAACAGCTAATAAGCGAATAGGAAATGACACGAAGAGCCAGGGAGATCTCAAAGAAAAAACAAACAAACTGTATGGACAACAATATGGAATGTCGAATGAGGGCCTAAGCTACTGCAAAAGGAACCCCGAAACAACATGAGCTTCGAAGAGATTCGAACACGGGAATCTCAGCTGTTAGATCTATTCAAAGTGCGGAGAAAAACGAATTTCCGTGTCGCCATCACATTGCTTTTGTTTTGGTTGAAAGGATGGCCAATCACGGACCGCATACAGGAAGGTCTCAATGGGGTGATGGCTTTTACGTCGATAGGTAAAATTTAAAATTTGGCCAATTTACGGCTAACAGTTAATATCTCTCCATTGTGATCACTTGAAAGTTTTTACGGTTAACTTTTTTTTACGACTAACAGTTAAAATTTTTCAATTTTTTAACGCCTGACAGCTACATTATTTTTTTACCGTTTTACGGCTTACGGTTAACCTCATGGAGACCCTCATGCAGTGAGCTGAAACCAATGTAGTTCTGGAAAATTTTAAACTGGCAGTGAAGGTACGAGGCTAGTGAAACACATTAGGCATTGGCTGTCTAATTGAAAGACAATTATTTCGCGTCAACCATGTATATATCTAATGGCCACCGCAGATCGTCTCATCCTGTTAATCCCTTTTTGAACAAACGCGGCCCGGCCATGTTTGTTCAATAGGCGAATGTCAAGACCACAACAAGAATCTCTTGATGTATTTACCATCAGCTATCTAGAACCCAATAGCATGTTAATCTGTTCTTATCATACAGGACGAATTCTATAACGTTATCATTTAAACCGACGTCTAAATCAGATAATCAACTGATAAACTGTATCCTCTGTTCAAATGAAATTTTGTATCACCAAAGAAACTTTCTGGAAAATACCCATCCAATTTTGTCATGACCATCACAGTCTAGCCAGATTATCACATTCGACCAATGGTAAATACCTCAGTAACTTACCCAAAGGAATAAACGATACAAGACCCGGACTCTAAATGAACCTCCTCGTCAAAACAAACATACCACATCCCATCAGGGCCAAGCGGACGAGGGGCTCCGTGAGGACCTTGCGGTAAGCCTCCTATTCGACGTACGTCAGAGCAAACAGCCCCCTGCGTTGAAAGCGCCGTCATGAACCTCTTCATTTCGTTTTCAACGGGAGGTTCTTCTACGTAAGTAAATATGCTCGGTGTGGGCGGTGGAGTGCTTAACATCTGTGGTTCCTTGAGAGTGAAGCTTGGGTTTTGTATAGATTCTGTTTCTGCTTTCTTGAGCCCTGTTAAAATAAATTTAGAGTGCGTTAGAGGCATATGACTGAATAAGTGAATGAACCATAATGCACTCAATGCAGTTTTATACGTTAGAATTCTCTTTTTGTTACCTGTAACTTCATCGGTTTCTCTTCTCGTCTGGGTTACATTCTCAGTGAAAAACAGAGGGATCTGCAGAGGGCGCCAAAAAATGGTTTACAGGAATTTACCGACTATATTTAGTGACAACTTAAGAATTGAACATTCTAAGTCTAATAATATATCTCACTAATGTGCCCCTCAATGGTTGTTTTTGGAGCTTTCAGATAGTTCGTCTCATTGAAAAATCATGTTTCTTGCCCGGAGTATCACGACCTACCATTCCACCATATTCCAGTCAATATACTCGTGCATATTTTTACAGTGGCTTTATTCTCTACAGATATATTTAGTTCACTATGCAGCTAACTGCTTTAAGAGGTTTGAGCTCAATACTAAGCCGCTCACTCTAACTTTTTGAAAGTTTACAAATGGCTCTGATTGAAAGTATTTCATCAAAATGCGGAACACTATCAAGAAAATACCTAAATGTTCGTTAGAAAAAGAAACTCGTCGAGACGTAATGTTAGAGGTTTTGACACTCACCGCCCTAGGGGGAGGGACTAGCATCATCGTTATGACAGCAATAGACACCAAAGTACCACCCACAATCCAGCGACGACGACGATAATATCGATCGAGAAACATTCTGCGCAAGGAGAAAAATAACAAAAATAAAGTAAAAATGTGATACTGGGATGAAGCAACCCCCCCCCCCCCCAAAAACTGAACAGTGAAAATTCAAATGATCTGTTTTGTTTTACCTTCTCATTTGGTTTTCTGCGCTCTTTTCTGCGCCAGTTCAACGTTTTTACGTTATGCGCACGTCACGCTGTTGCGTGAGATCCCTAATACAAGTATTAGTGACAAGTAGTTAATTATACCTAAATAGGACAATTTTTAACTAAGTGTCGAAAGTAATTGCTTTTTTTCGTTCTGTGAGTGGTTCATCGATTGGTGATGAGTGATGAAACAACGAACCGAATTCTTAGTATCTTCAAAAATACCTCAACAGGGCTACAGGCCGAACAGTCGAGCCTTACCAAGCCATTTGTAATTTTTCCTCTTTTTTCAGTCTTTGTCACTGAACAAAACAAATCGATCCTACTTTATCACAATATGTCTGTTCTGATATAGATAGAAATTGGCTACGTAGTTACAATGCAGTTTGCAGTTGGACGACTTCTTATGACTAAGTGTATAACATAAAAATAAAATGATGGAAATTTCAGACTACTAATTTATACTTGCGAAGTAATTGATCACCATAATGACATTTTTAACGAAAACAAATATGCATTTAAAGAGTCTTTTTTAATTCAATATAGAGGAATATTAATTTGTAGAAAGTTTCAACCACCTGGTACGAATATTATCTCGAGCCTACAGCCACTTTCTTTAACTGCTCATCTATCGATTTAGAATCACCATCAACGTTTTTACGTCATCTGTAATCCACCATTACCGAACAGACACGCGGAAAAAAATCTTTTTGTTTTATCCTGTATCACCGTCTTCAATTTGCTTTTATTCCAGCATCTCTCTTGATCTTGGAGTGATATCTTCTTTGCAAAGAGCAGCTAGAGATTTCAGATCGAGCGACGGTGAAGCTAACAAAATGATAATCTTGCTCGCTTTCAGTTCTATTCTAACAAAGCCATTCCTGAAATCGATTTTGTTGATTTTTTAATTTCAACTTCTATAGGTATTCGACGAACATTTTGCTCTCTACGAGTTATTATTGTTATTCCTAGAAGTGTTGCTGAGAAACTGGTTGATATAATTACAGATTAAATCACTCACCTCAATGTTTTTTAACGGCAGCCATCATAGTTTACAAACATCTTTCGATTATTATGTCAGCCACGCGTATAAATGAAGAAATCCCAGATCTCGTACAGCGCGTGGTTCGTACTTTTTCTGGTGGCTTGGCCAAGATAAGCGCCAGCAAACTGTGACACTCCAACAGGCCAATATTTCTATACACTGCACTATTTAAGTCAGAAGGTTTGACTTGACGCTAGGAAAGATACTGAATTCTTCCGATAACTATTGAAGTTTCGATGGCTAAAGATCTCCTTGGGGTAAACTAAAGAAGAGAAAACTGAGTAAAGAAAAAAGTCAAAAGGGAACTTCACGTGCAAGTTGGGACCGGCGCAGTCTGGAAGCTCCGTGCTTTGTTAGTCTGTTGGTACCCGTTGTAATTTAAATTACCCTTAACAATCCAGCAACAAGCAACTCGCTAGACGAGCACATATTAGTTTGTCCACGTTGCGGATACCAAATGATAATCAGTCATTTGCAACCATTAATTGAAATAACTCTAGTAATTTGTAAACTTGTCGCTGTAGTTGTATGAATTTCGGAAACGAAACATTATGATTCACCTCACACGTAACGCAGCCAGAATGTCTATACTTTCAGTCGAATAATAATGAAGGTCGAGTTTTTATAACCATTTGAAAACATGGGAAACTAACACTTTTGTCTTGAGGAGAGAAAGGTATAGTTTACAATTGTCTGAGAAAATTTTACATTTTTAAGAGCTCCATTTTTTTGGCGCGCAGCAGGCGGGCCAACAAATCGCAGCAGAAAAAAAACAAGGTTCCGTTACTGATCGAGAAAACGAGCTTAGTAAAATATTTATTTTATTCAAATAGCGGAGGAATATTTAAATTCAAGTAATCTTTTGAATTTAGCGGGCCGTACATTGAAATACGGCTGGCTAAACTGACCGATTATAGTGTACGTACTAAAAAAACCATTGATGATTCTTCAAAGGAGTGAAAATACTTGTCTTAAATACTTGTTCAAACTGTTTTGTTGTCATAAATATGTTTCGTGCCCTTCTCTGAGTCATTTTAATCCTGAAAGCCGAGTGTCTGGGGCTAAAATGACTCCGAGTCTGGCCCAAAACATATTTATGCCAGCGTACATTACTCTATTGTTTCGTATTATTAAAAGGACTTGATTCATGTCCACTGTAAAATTTTGTGTCCGCTGTAAAATCATTGCTAATAACAGTAGTGTGAAGTCCACTGATTTCATAAAATGAAGAGAGAGCTTAGACCATGTCTACAGGATTGTGTAAGGATTTAGCAAACTGTATGATCTACTGTGTTGAAACATTATTCAAGTGCCACAAATCTTCCAACAAAATGATTTCATTATCTGGCACGGATGTTCCAATATTCTTCTGGGTCATTTTTCAATTCTTCAGGCATGTGCAGTAAAGTAATAATAACATCATCATCTCTTCTTTGGAAAAGCATTTCCCCTTCAAAGTGAACCAAATTCTGCTTCCGAGCCCTGAGTAACATTCCTACTACTTTGTTGGATATTCTGGTATACCTGTCAAACAAGCGTCGAAATGTGACAGTAGAAGTTCCATCTGGTTGTTCCTCGCCCATCTGGAGAATAATTTGGCACAACTGCTTCACTTCTTGGCTGATATGAGCCCCTGCAAATCTGCCACGAGTCTCGGTTTTAGATCCTGCCACTGGGCGGCCATATTCTTTGTCATTCCTCTGAGGTGTAGCCATTCACCTGACAAGTTGAATTTATTTCACCAAATTCAGGCACACCCTTTAATAGTTTGCATAGAAATCACCAAATAACTAGATTTAATCTTATCAGTGCTCCTGCTGCCTTAAACATTCCTGGGATTACGAAATACGTTAGGACAGCAATGGACTGTGTAGAGGGTCTATTCCTTCCCCTTTTCTATAAGAGACTGAAAATTTAGGCGCTAAATTTTCACAGTTTTGCAATGTACGCTGTTCGCAATCTCCTAACAGTTCGAATTGTCAGTCAGATTGGGACATTGAATCCCCAAGCGATCATAGAGCTGTAAGAACCATCACATACAACTCACCAAGTTATCTCTGAATAACGAAAGTTGTTTAAGCGAAGCCAAGTTCTTTACAAAATATTGAACAGAGCACACTGTATACTTGCACACCGTCGTCCGCCATGTTTGTTTGTTTCTTCCTGACTTGTCACGCAAACGTAACGCACGTCACGCTGCATAATTAGCCTCCTCTCCAGTTTCCCCTCCTTTCCACCAGTTAGGACATCGAACTAAGAAAACACAGAAAACACTCCTTTGCTTACCTCCTTTTGGAATCAACAGCCCGAGAAAACACTTTTTTCTACAACTCCTTTTTAAATCAACAGCAGAAATTGCTAATTAATTTGATCTTGAAGAAGAGTTTTTGCGGTTCCTACTCTCTCTAATTGAAACGACGTCCATTTATTTGAAAATTCCATTTTAGGTATAGCACAGTTTATACTGTCAACAGTTTTCCAGATTCTACCGACTAACTTCTCATAATTTTAAAACTGTTATCAAGTACCCTTCCTCTAACTAAATAAACTCTCCATCCGACGACAGCCACACCCGCGGTGAATCTTGGGTTATGCATGTACGCTCGTCGCATGCTTCACTGCTGGTCCGGGCTTTCTGTCCAAGCATGTCAGTCCTTCCATTAGTCACTATGATTTTATTTTCGCAAGTCGTTCTCTTGCAGGGGGCATCACTTGTGCAAAGAGATGGTGGTTTACGACAACCGCGCAAAGCACATATCAGCTGGTGCAAGTGGAGCACCGAGCGTCCGTTTGAGGACGTGTGCTAGATTTCCACGACGTATAACCGTCCATCTTGAACTGCATCCCTGGTAAGGCTGTTCTTTTCTTAAAGCTTCCCACTGGTGACCACGGTGTGTTTTGCTTAGGTTTAGGTGCAGTGAATCTGTTTGAAATCATCATAAAAAACCTCCCATAATATACACAGAAGTGTTTCACTCGGCCAGTCGCTGACCCCAGAGCCTGCCGTTCAAGGAATCTATGCCTTGCGGGAGCAAGTTGATACCCAACGTGTTTTTGAGTAGTGTAGCAAAGAGTTGAAAAGCTCGAGTTCACCAAGTATAGCCCTATGAATGGTATGATTTAGCAGGACTTATCTAAGCCTGAATGATTGCGTTTCCCCTACACTATCTGGAGTCAAACAAAATATCTTTCATGTATCTAGAAGAACGTCAATACATGATCCGTTGACTTAGGCAAGTTCCACGCCTGAGATGTTTGTGTAGAGGTAATACATGACATGTTAACTTACAGGGTGTAATGTGTTGAGAAATTCTAAAGTGAATGCATCAAGACCTGATGTTGTAGTTTACATAGTTAATAGTTGCTTCGTAATCATCTCCCTCTCTTAGGACAACAAAATCATCATGTAAATTAAACGCTTCTAATTCCATAGATTTGAGAGGCAGGAAAGCCTCAGCCCTAGCCACATAATTCAAATTTTTGTCAATAAAATCTCAAAAGGTTATCTCAAAGTTGTGCGGTGGTTCCTATCAGCAAACTGCGAAGTTCTGCACAGTTTTCTAAGCTTGGCTGATCTCGTAGAAGCTCGCATTCTAAATCTCTGAGTTAAACCAGATTTGAAAAAATGGCTGCCCCTGTTATGCCATGAACGTATGATATAGTTACCGCAACAAATCCTAACTATAAATATCAAAGCAGTTCTTCGACAGCGCCCAGTGATGTTCCGGGGTCGCGACTGACAACTTAGATTTTTTTTTTGCCCATGACTTTGTTTTACAAAAAGCTTGTGAAAGTAGGAGCAGCTGGCAGCAAAGATGCTGCAATGGTTGAGAGATTTTCCGTACTCGATTGCTAATGTCGCGTCGCATAAGATTTGCTCTGCCCTAAAGCTGTGAATAATCCCGCCAAGTTTCCATAGTAAGACAAAAAGTCTCTTTCTTCATGTGCCATTCAGTCAGAGGAGATTTCATGCTACGAAACTTCAGAGTTTTTGTAGCGGTCCTGATTTTCTCGTGTTGATCGAGGCTCAAAAAAAGAGGCAATCTCCTCAATCACATTTTAATGAAAAGGAATTTCGCTTTTTCTCAAAATATGAAACATTAATCTCAAAAAGTTAATTCTAAGAAATCTTTTTGAGCCATGAATACGAAGTTGATAATAAAGTGATTGTCCATGATTTTAAGTCGTCATAACGTTTTTCATATTTCCGCATAGCAGTTTTTATTAGCTATATATCGCCCTAGGTATTTTCTTTGTTAGAGCAGAAACGCAGAGACTAATCCTGAAAATGACAGTGGATTTAATTCCCAGATATTCTTTTAAAGCAAGGAGATGAACCTAGTGTCTTGTTGTCCCAAATTATTTATTTATCCGTATAAGAGGATTACAAATTAGTCTCTGTAGCAAAAAAGTAATCTTTTTCCCTGTTTATACAAGACGACAAAACTTTCCAAACGTGAAGGGCTTGGCGTGAATTGCCGTTAATCTGAAAGGCGAACAATTAAAGGCTTTAAATAATACATAAGATCAATGTATGTCAGCCTTTTAAACTCTGAAAAGCAAAGTATTACAATAACAATAATACTTGCTTGGCGCGCAAGACTCTCGTCACGACAATTCGTTTTAGCGTACCGTCTCTCCTTCTCATGTCCAAACAGTCTTTATTTTAAGAAATGCCTGGAATGAAGAAGATATGGCGGTAACTATGCGGGTTTGCGCCTCTCGCCGCGTTAAGTGCATTCCCCACCACAAAACGTCTGACCACAAATTAATAAAGCCTGGGAATTCACCTTTTGTTATTTAAAGTAACCTAACTGTATCTCTCTTCCTTTATAGCTTAACTACATTTTGTCAACGGAGGAGAAAACTTCTGTTTCGCGAGAGTCAGAAATTAAAAAGTGCATAGGTCGGTTGAGCGTACAAAATAAAATCGATTTGCGTTTTCTTTTTCGCGTAACGGAAAGACAAATAAGTCGTCACCAGTGGATGAAGAGATCATTTTTTTTATCTCCCTACATCGAAAACGCATATACATGGTTTTTGCTGGCGAGAGGAGAGAGGACATGGGGTACGTGGCCAGCAATGGCTTGCTCTCTTGAGGTTTTATTTCATTGAATGATTTCGGTAAAAAATGTCGAGTTTCACTTCTCTTAGACCGTAAGATGAAGACTCCTCATGGTTTCTGTGCTTAATTTTTAGTCTTATTACTCTGCATTGAAGCAGGATAAGGATTTTACGAATGGAATGCACGTGTATTCTAAGTCCTTTCTGAGCCGTTTTTTGAGCTACTTAGGAGTTGGCAAGCTTTCCCACGACCCGAAAGGTCTGCAAAGCAGAAAAGAATTTTCCTGCCTCAGTTTGGACAATTTCTTTTATTTGCATTCAAACTTCCGCGAGAAATAGCTCCTTTCCTATTTCCAGGGACTAATTTTTTTTCTCCTCGCACAGTCTTGGGAAATTCTTCCTCAAATCAGGTTAAACCAATGCTACGTGCCCGGGAGCTGATGTTCCACCCGAAAAAACCCTGCTTCCCACGAGCACAGGAGAAATCATGACACTTTAATAACTCTTCAGCATCAGCTAAAAGAGTATTAAACTAAGCCTAGACAGCAACAAGAAAGTCTTTAAAGTGTCTGGGAAAATGCTTGTGTCTGACACACCTCTCGACTACATTTCATCACGTTTCCTTTTTGAATAATTTTGCATTTTTAGTTGAAGAACTCATTTCCAGGTTCTGTTTCGTTGGCACCAAAATGATTTAAAATGATTTATGTGCACTGAAATTTTTTCGTAGATCTGGGATCTTTTAAGCTCCGGACTAAATAGCCCAAGAGCTGTTGCGGGAGCTAATAGTTTCGAGACGTTGGCTGCGTTGCATCCTGAAACTCTCCCCATGCCTCTCTCGGTTAAGAAAGAAGAGCATGATGTAACCATCATAGAGATTAAAAAAACCGCGATGACCCAAGCTGAAAAGTTTCGTAATTGTGCTAAATATGGAGCGTGAGAATTTTCTTGGTGCGGTAGATACGCATGTTTTTTATCATACATGACATATTTTTCTTTTCTTCTCTATTTTGCTAATCTTTTTACTAGCTGGGTCAAACATCGCTTGATTCAATAAATAAAGGAAATTTTTACCACTGATTATTGAAAGCTTTGAATGATATGTATTGAGCCGCAGGAAACGGCTGTGCTTGTCGCAATCACTTGAAGATGGCAAGCGCAGCTTTGACGAACCTGTTAAGGCCAATCGTGAGGGGCCATTTAAGAAGCTATCATAGCTTGATTAATATTTGAATAATATTTCCTTCGGTTCAAATGCTTCGTGTGTGACCAGCCAAATAGAGCCCGATGAGCGATGCTTCCATGTAGATATGTTTGTTTTCGATTCGATTCTTTGATACTTTTAAAGTGGGATATTTTATTGTACTCTCAGGCTTTTCGCGTGGGTATCAGGAAAGAGTCCAAATTTCACAAATAATCTCATCGACTGGTCAAGAAAGTCATAATTTCATCGGCTTCCGTTAATCAAGTGGGGTCATTGGAGTTACTGGCGAGTCCATCACGTTTTCATTGAAAAGAAAACAATGCTGTCAATGATATAAACCAAATCAGTTTTGCGTGGACAGGCCAATGCTGTTATTAGACACATTATACCAAATGTCAAAAACAGTGAATTTTTACTGAGCTAATGACAAATTAGTTTAGAGAATAAATCTAAGTGTCCATTTTTTCTTCTCCTTTTTGCTACATTGCATGAGAGTTTGCCTCGTCGCTTGCAGTGATGAAGGGATTCCCCCAAATACACGACCTCTCTGTAAATCTTTCTTTTCTTCCAGTTCTCGAATTTTACTTTACCTCTGGTATATACGTGGTATTTGTCATAAAGGAGACTCAGTTGACATAACGGCGCCAAATTTATCAATACGCAATCAAAATAGAATCTTAACAGGCCACATTTTACGCAACAGTCAGTAGCGAGGAACGACGAAAGCCAAAAGTGATGTTTAGTAATTCAGCAGGAAGACTGTTAGACGCACTAATTGTAAGCAATGTACTCCAATCGATTGTTATCGTAGAATGATTCCAAGTCAAATTAGATTACAGGAGTTCACTGAAATGTGCTTGGATTTATTGCAGCCCAGAGTGATTCTTCAACACCAAATATGATACTCATAAAATTTGACCCTTTGAAAACATGATATAGAGTGCTTGTGATATGATAATGACCAGGAGAAAATGAGGCCCTTAAATTGATTGAGGAGGGCGGACCCATCTGGCGAGTTCAATTTGAACGCATGACAGGTGAAGCAAAAATGGGCCTTTGAGTGCGCAAAAAGTGCAATAGTTTGCGCGTCTTTGTGTGAAAATTATTAACAGCGCAATTTAAGAGACTATGCGGCAAAAGGAGTGCATTTCTTGGCATTTCCGTAGCGCGTGTACCATTCAACACGGTTGCCAAATCCGTTTATCAAAACCGCATTTGGAATGTCCGTGAAATAATAATAAAGACTTTAATATCCTCAAGCAGACGTTGATGCTAGAGATAAAGCCAATCTACTGCCAATCTTTCCCATACATTATCTTTTATATGGGAGGTCTGTAAGTAGAGGTTGATCAGTCCCTGAATAACATTGACACCACTGTGCGTCAGTGTTGAATTATACGAGGGCTCGCTCGATGCAGCATGTTCAACTCACCTCACTTGATCTACTGTAACTGCGCCTCTGTACCGGTGCTTCACAGCCCCAATGTTTATTCCGTGTGGAACTGTCCTATCCAAGCGTCGCCCTCCGTTTACGGGACATCGTTAGACAGGACGGCCACACACGGCGGATCAAGCGAACAAACTGAAAACAGCGAAACGAACTCGTCGTCGAGCAGAAACCTCAAGTTTGGAATTGAGAATATTCTATACGGCAAGTTACAATCAGGTAAGGTTTCTAAAAAATCAAGACACAAAGCGTATAAAGCCAACAGAGTGGTGCTAAATGGCATCATGTCTCTAATCGTTGTGTTTTCAAATTAATTTTCAGTAGATTCACTCTGTCGAATATTAGCTACTAAACTCGAGATTTGATCTCAGCAAAACACATAAAACATACAAACAATTTTCAATATTTGATAGATCTTTACTGTGTTTTAATCTCCAATAAAGAATTATTCTTGCAGGAGGTATGGTCACGAACGACTTCATCCATCGGTCGCTGATCACTTCAAATACTAACGTTGGCCACTCAGTTGCGGTTTTAAGATAGACTTTTCACGTTTTATGTGCAATTGGCATTTACCGGTGAAACGTATTGCTCCGGTGCCATAAGATAAAACTGGGTTTTTTTTTAACGTTTAACCAGTAAAATGTGAGCGCTTTTAAAGTGTTTCTGGCCAAATTTGCGACTACTGACGTGCGTCACGAACAACAGCCGCGCTGAAGCTCGGCGCAAATCGCTGCATGTATAATAGGGAAAGGCTCTTAGAAATTTTAATTCCTTGCGACCTAAGATTAAAAGGCTGGAAACCTTGGTAAGGCGTCCACCACCTTTTGCGGAGTCGTAAAGAAACGAGCTTTCTCTCATTATTCGTTTTACTTTAAACGACCATACCTTCGCAAGTCTCTTTATTTTTCAGCGCTATCTGACGAGTAGTTACCCCATTGGTTTCTCGTCTTAATGGCGACGAAATGATAATCCTCTATGTTGGGAAAGAGATAATTTTTAAGCTCTGTTACCCGTTGTATGCTCAGCTTGCCCGCAAGCGTTGAAACTGTACAGGAGACTACCGCAGTTCATTCGTGATATCTTATCTTCATTGGTGCCCGATGAGCGAGCGCGTCTCGTTAATAACAGCACCGAGCGAATGTCGACTGTGAATTTATAAGGCTTTTACAAACCAAAAAGTCTTGTGTGTCCGTATCTGAAACTCTTGATTAATAACTTGCCAGGCAGCGGTTTGTTTTAGTGGCAAAACTGACGCGTTTTCGTCTGAACCTCAACGACGTGTTTTTATCGTTATTGTTTGATAGGACATTTATGAATTTCCCTTTCTTGTTAAAGGATGCGTACTGAACAACTTTGAATTTAAGACTTTCACTTTACTTTTCTGTTGAAAAGAAGAGTTTAAAAAACAATTACCAAGCCTTTGGTCTTTAAAGTAAACTAATTAATGAATGTTTGAATACTTGAGTCTCATTTAATTGCGGTTACAAAACTGTTGTCAATAAGTTTACTTTCAAAAACAACCTGTTCGTGGAAATTCAATAGAGTGGACCTTTTTCTTGATAGATGTAAACTTACTTTCACCAAAGAAATTTTAGTTTCTAATTTAAAATTATTTTTCCTTTCAAAGCGAGATAGATGGAGAAAAGCGCTGAAATTTCGTCCTAAGAAAAAAAAACATTTTGAACTGACGACGACCAGCTTTGAAAATGGGGAACCTTCGTTCGGAAACCCCTATTTCACAAGCTGTAGCACTCGCTTAAGTTTTCGTAAGATTCCAAATGGATGCAATTGTCATTTGAATGCGAGGATTTGTTTGAATACGTTATGTTTGAAAACTGTTATGCAATCGAGAAATGTATAAAGTGGCAAGCAGGCTAAAGTCTGCGTCACATCAACAAGGTAGCTAAATTTCTAAAGAGCATAGTCCATTTACTCATAGTCCACTCACTGGAGCAAAGAGTAAGTGTATTTGGCACTCTCTTGGCCATTGTAGTTCAGAGTTCAATATTCCAATTGAATTGTTCGAACAAAATAGGGAGAAATTTTTAATTTTCATACATACATATACAATGTATTTGTATCTAATATCACAATAGCGGAAAAATTACCCCAAAGTAGGCACTGGCAAAAATTGCACAATGTTTTAAAAAAAAGCAAGTGAATGATTAATAATTTTCGTGCCTCTTTTCGTGTAAAGACAATGCATAATACCATGAATTAAAAAAGCATTTATCGCATACTTAGCACTATGAGCCTCAACTGAAATGTGTTAATAGTATTACAGTTTTAAGTGCATTATGATAATTAATCATAAACACTATCCGAAAAACACATTTGTGGTTTCTGATCTTGCACGACACAGAGACATTTGATGTACGTTTCAGATCTCACCCTTGTGCTAAAACCGAATTGCATTTTTTTGGCTGATGTTGTTTTATCAATTAACTGATATCGAGTGGCGGAAATGGTTTGATTTCGTATAGGACTGAATTGAAACTGATACACTATGGGCGAAAAGTATGCCTGCTTCTTGGTAATCGTGTGCTCTAGCGTTTGGTCGTAAGAATTTTCACAATTCATTTCTGACCTCTCCTACTTAGAGAATTCTGGGCGACATAGTTAAACGTCGTAGCTGCGAAGCTTCGAAAAAGTTTCAAAATAAGGACGTTGATCTTCCATACTGCTATCACAGAAATTCCGAAAACAGGGTAATAATTTGATAAAATATTTCTTATCTTGTCCCAAGCTTAATGCCTTTCTAACTTCGGTGAGTGAAAGCGTATTGTCGTAACATTCCGAAGACATGGGAAAAGCACTGGAACAATACATTTTAGAAAAACCTTAATTTTCAGAAGCAAAATTTTGTTACAGTAATCTTTTGTCGCTAGAATAAGGCAATAAAAAAGGTTTGAGGTTATTCATTGCGGTAAATACTATAGCAGTGGAGGGTTATATCGTTTGTTTCACGATGAGGTCACTTCGCATGTTAATCGTGCCTCATCGACTTCAATAAACTCCTTTTCTGAACCAGTGACAAAAGAAGAAGAAGAAGACTCGCAATATGCATTCGAAACATATCGCAATCTACGTTGGAAATGGCGAAATTGTGAGAAGAAAGATCAAACTTCATTACAGACTCCGCTAAAGTCACATCACAGTTTAGTTCAAAATACAGTCCCCGCTCGCCTATCACAAGTCTCTTACAACTCAGTGGTAGAGCAAAGGGGTAAGTTTCTAAAGAAACTGTGGTGCTGCGTCGGTGGGAGAGTATAGCAGGTAATTTAGTGTTAACAACTGGGTTGAAAACGTAAATTAGCCACCGTAAAGGGTAAAAAGCTGACGTTTCGAGCGTTAGCCCTTCGTCAGAGCGATTGGCGATCAGTGGTAGAGCTTCCGAAGTTCTAATCGGTAGGTCGTAGGTTCGACCCCTATTTGGAGCACACGGACTTCTTTTTCTCCGAGTATTCGCCTGATTCGTTCGCTGAATAACATCATCTTTCAACTTCTACTTCTCTTCAACGTATTTCTCATTTGATGTTTCTTGCTTATTTCATGTCCCATCCTGGTGCCGCTCTTTTTGTTTACCTAAGCTGAATGCGGTAATTGCTGTGAAGATTTCGATCTTTGCTAATGGTCATCAGATTGTTTTAAAGTTTATTTTACAAACGATGAGGCTTTCCTCGGGTCTTTAATAGCCTATAGTTAATAAACATCTTTTTCTTACATCTGCTGGAACTAAACATGTGTAGCTCGTTTGTTTTATCTCAGGAATGGAATTTTCCATTATAAACGGCCACTATAGGTTCATTCATGATGTGTTTTCTGTTTTATCAATCACGTTTTGATTTTTCATTTCGCTTGCGCGTTTAATTTTTGTTATCAAAAGCGGCTTCCAGTCGACCTGCTCACAAAGGAAAGTTACAAACATACATTTCATCTTTCCAAAAATTTTTCCTTATCATCGCTGCAGTTCAGTCCTAGCTCAGCTGCGTAAAAAACACAGCTATCGTTCTTTATAGATAGGCAGTCCTTTGGTATTAACTCCCGACTTCTTTGAAGTATATTTCCGATATGATTAATTAGGGCGTGTGCTTGTTCATTATCGGCCGGGTTAATAAATATTTCCCGAGTAAGTAGATTCTGCGATAGTACGGTCATCGTAACTGTGTTAAGGTGTTTACAAACTCGCCGTTTCCTTTTTCAATCTGACGCTGAAAGATATCACTAAGCTTTACGTTTATGACATGATTTGATTTTAATTAAAAATACCTCGTCGTACTCCGATGAGTGAATGGACCAGGAGTTTGTTCAGATAATGATATCATGTTGAAGCTTGCATCAGATATAAGAAATAAATTCAACTAATGTCAGTAAAGGAATCCGGCTTCGAGCACGGAAAGATTTATGGTAGAGATAGTGGAGTGAAGATGGAAAACATTTGTGTGATCCTTGCATGAAACTCGGTATGGCGCTTCTAGGCTCGAACTGAAGGAATGAATACACCTTCATAAATTAGAAGTTTGAGACACGCCCCGAGTATGATGAGGTTTCCTTGAAAAGCGCAAAATTGCGTGTTGAAACTGTGAAATGTATTGCAAAATGACACTTGTGCTAATCCATCTTTAAGTGAGATCTGTTAAATACATATAATGGTAGTCGGAAATATCGAGAATTTATAATCTCGTTTGTCATTGATGTCTTTGTTCAATTTTTTTCATGATACAGATGGATTGCGCGCAGATGTTTTTCACACCTTGTTCATGAAAAAACTTCCCAAATCATCCCGTTCATAAAAACAACTAAGCGATCGGCAAGAAGATTTCGTCAACTGACGAGTCAATCGGTCGAGACAGCGACAAATTTTCCGTCTTATAAGCTCCCGTAAATCTGGAACTAAAATATGGCTTTGGACGAAAGAAAATGCCTGACCTCGCTTAAGTTTAAGGACGCCTTAACAAAGAGTGCATATGTTAACAGAAGGATTTTTAGTTCTGTCTGCCTTCGACTGACTTGTCACCTTCAGAGTGAAAGCTTCATCTCAACTCAAATCTCCAAAGCTTTAATCTTTCTTTTCGAAATGAATGGTCATAACCTTGACCCTAGTCCCTTTCTTTTTTTTTTTTTTTTTTTTTTTTTTTTGCAACGTTTTGAATAACAACAGAAATTGCAAGAGTTCCAAACACAGCTAACTCCTATCTCGCTCAAATATGCTTTTGCCCTCCCCTGCGAGCTGAAGTTCTTTGTTGTTTATCGTTTTTTTGCCAGTGAATCTTATAGATTTTCAGTGTAGGGAATTTTGGTGATCGTGTTTTGTGACCTATTCGATATTTAAGAATTTGTTCATGTTTAGCGTGCGTACATCGAGTTATGGATGCACGCGGGAAGCTTGGAGAGCACGAAAAATGCGTAAGAGTAGCTCGAAGCGCAGCCGAGAGCAACTCTAGCTTTTTGAGTGCTCTCTAAACTTCTCAAGTGCATCCATAACTCGATATACGCACAGCTAAAAGCATGAGCAAATTCTTTTATAACTGAGCAACAATGAACAAAAAATGTTCACGTCATTTTATTTACGCACGAGCGTGCGTAAATAAAGATTTTGTTCATAGCGGCTCAATAGGACTTACATAAGGCAAGCACGCGCGCTATGTTGTAAACAGCTTTTGGTCTCTCCCCGGACGGTATCTGGGTTAGATAGACCGTTTTTCTTTTTTTTACACTTATTAAAATTGGGTGAAGTTAAACGTAAAGTAGCACTACATCAGCAGCAGATATGTGTACCTTGATTTTCAGGAAAGTTAGTGAGAAGGTTAGGCTTTTCACTCTCAAAATCTTAAGATAAATTCTCTTTCCTGCCTGCCATACATTTGCTATTTTGTCCGTCTTCAGAATTTAGAGTTAAATCAAATTATGCACGAGCTCTCGAGTTAACAAGGATGAGTATTTTCTGCGTAATTTTGGATCATGGTGTTGTAAAAAAAGAGTCATATTTTATTCTCTCTGCTCGTTTGTCAAGCAAGGTATCCTCTTTCTCTTCCGACGAATAGGTTAACGAAATTTATGCAGAGCCGCTATATTTAACGCTTTTGTCATCGTGGTAGAAAGTCACACCAGAATATAATCAAACAACTTTTATTATGTAACTTTAAAAAGTTTTATTTACTCACGGCCATATTTTCGCCAGATAGAATTTGATTTTCGATTTGGAAATTAAAAAAAACATTATGTTCGTTGGAAGATGAACCTTTTGTCGGTGCAGACCTCATATTCCTTTGAAAAAAAGAATTGTCAAGTAAGCAGACCGATGTGAAAGCTTTTACTAATAAATATAAATACTTTTGTTTCAGACCAACCTGTTATTCACAGACCGTTTCTAAGCAACCATGAGCTCGCCTACATTCATCATCAGCCCTTCAGTTCACCCATGCGCACTTCCAGCCGGCCATGGTGTCGCCCAGTCTTTACGCAGCTCCAACGACGAGGCCTGGAGAAGCGTTTCCAGGTAACCAAGTACGTGACAAAAAGGGAGAGGTTACAGATCGGCGCCATGTTGGGTTTGTCTGAGACGCAGGTGAAAGTGTGGTTCCAGAACAGGAGAACAAAATGGAGACATGAGGCTGCGCGGAAAGAAGAAAAACTGAAAGAGAAATCGTTGAAAAAGGTGGAAGAAAGTCAGCAAGAAGAAGAAGAAACGACGATTGAAAGTGACGAGACTGAGGAAATCATTGGAGAGTGTTCTAGTGAGGTCAGCGTCAAAGAGTTGTGATAACGTGATGACGAAAAATAACATCATGAGAAAAGTAATTGTGATTCTTAGCGACAACCGAACGCAATTTTTTTTTTTAATTTAGAAGATTAAAATAGCTTTAATTGCGATTCAACTGCAACGAGTTGTCACTAAGCAGGAAAAAACAAGTTCGACAAAGTCTAAAACTTTGTCTGGAAATTTGACAGGAAATCCTGGCAAAGATAGCATTGAATAACAGGAAAAAAACTATAAAGACACCGACATTTGTAAAGAAACTAAACTGAGAAGAAAGAAGTCAATGTCATTATGTTGGAGTATCGTGTAAAACACAATATAATTCAGTTCCTCATTGTTCTCACTTCTAGTTGATGTAAGGATAATGTAAATCAAAACAGTGGCACTTGATTGATTTTTCTTACTACTAAAACCCTCACCTCTCGCTCCTCGGCGACGGAAGCAGTTTAACTACCCCACTGTGTTGTTTGAATCTGTCCTGCTTTGCTTTTTCACGTCAGCCGGTGATATTTAACTATATGACTCCTAGAAGTGGTTGATATGTATCTTCTCCAAAAGGTGACAGTGAATTATTCAGCTTGAAGCTTATGGGAATTTACAATCGAATCACCAAAATATGTTATCTCGCTATCAATGTGAGATTCTTTTCATTTATTTTCACGGTAACGAGCGGCGGAAGTAGAGACTTAAAAAGATTCTTGGTTTGAAATCCTCTTTAATTTGAACAGCATCAGCTAAAAAGTTTCGTCAGATCTCTGATGCACGTCACTGAGTACTTTTGAAGATTTTTTTCTTTCTTTGCTAAATGGCACCCTCATTGATGTAGTTCGCTGGTGTAGAAGACAGACCACCCCCTCCCCCCCCCCCCTGCATTTCAATGTAACACATCAGGTCGAATGGAAGTCTCCGGATAATATTTTGACGTAGAGCTCCATTAGATAGTGGAGCATCCGGATTGAAAACAATGAACAATCAGTGGCCTTAAACAATCATAAGAGTAAAAGATATGTCAACAACTTGAATAATTTCTCTACAAAATACAATTACTTTTTTTGGTGAACCTCTAAAACCCCATCGGAAAGAATAGAAAGAGACTGTAGCTAGGTTTTGAACCAACTTCGTTCCAAGGGTGACTATCAGTTAACAAATTGTAACTTTTAGTACGAAAATTATAATGTAATTTATCCTGTTAGACGCTTTGAATTTTTTTGATTAAGGAAAAATCATCATAAACTGATCTACATTTTTTACATTTCAAGAAGCATTTGTTTTCAATTTTGAGATCAGTTACACTGTAATTATTTCATCTACCGCAATGACCTGAGTAAACAAACTTGTGTTTTTATATCGTTTTTTTTAAGCTCAAAATAACCATTACGACCGGAAAAATGTGGCATACTTTTATTGAAATCAACGGAAAGTAGGCAGACATCCATGATGAAGTTTCATGAGCCCCGGGGTGTCTCTTATCGTCTCGTTTATCTCAAATTGGAACCACACAGTAAAATGTCGTCGTCCTAAAAGGAAAACACTTTCAAGATAAATAACAGGCGACAAATTTTTTTTACAGTGCACGATATCCGGAAAATATAAGACTACCACGTTAAAATTTTCGCATTTGTTTTCGGCTAAAGCGATGCTTTATTCATTTCTTAATTTATTCATCGTATCTGACCTAAACTTGTCGCTAGAACGTCAATTATTCACAGCGTACAGCGCTCAATTAGTTGACAAACGTTCCGAGTGTAATTTTTGTTTACAAGAATGAAACAATCTAAATTTAGCGTTAAGCCGTAAGGTCACTAAAGACACCGAAGCATCATCTTTCCCTTTGCACGAAACCTGGAAAAAAAATTCGCAAGTTGGAATCTCGACACCCAGGAAGCAAAGACAGGGTGGGGAGGGGGGGGGGGAGACAGGGAGCGTCCTCCGAGTGTTACCAACCTAATTTGCAACACATCCCTACACCGCATAGGCTCAAGATTTTTTAACTGTTCTCGTCTGAAATGAATAGGTAAAGTTTTCCATATCTTTGAAAGATAAAGGCCAAGATTTAAAATACCAGATCTGATCATAGGTTACAACAGTTTTCATCCGTCCCTAGGCCTTACCGTGAGTGGTACCCCTTACACACACCTTCCCCCCCCCCTTCCTCCTCCTCCTCCAGAAAACAATGAAGATACGTACAGACACCACAGAGTCCAAGATAAGGTGATTGGCAGAAATGGGTGTCGGACGGGAAACTTTTATCGACTGTGCTGATCTGTGATAACGTGGGAGGTCCCAAGGATGGTCACAGGAGACTTGAGGATTTCCTAAGTAGCTCAAACTGGACAATCCTTACGACATAAAATTATGAACTCGTCGATGATTTACTGTCAATGTGATTTCTACGGAAAGGTTCCTCCACAAATGAGTGCTATCACTGACAGCCTGGTGACTCGGTTAAAACTTACAACAACTCTGCCACACTTGAGCGCTAACAGCTTTGCGGACGCGCCATTCGCAACACCAATGCAAACAGATAAAGCGCGAGAAACAACCGAATTAAACGCCTCGTGGAAACCTCAGCATCAGAGACAACAAGAAAAACTGAATTTTGGGATTGAGACGATTCTGTATGGTTCTTCAAAATCAGGTAAAAGCTCTATGGTTTATCTTTAGAAAGAACAAAGGGCGACCTTTTTTCTTTACTACTATCAATTTCTAAGGTGCAAGCGCGCACTTAAAGCGAATTAACTTGTTTACTGGCAGATTTTCAGCGTTGTGTCTTTTTGAAATCCCTACAGTTTGGTATCCTTACCTGAAAATTGTTAAAGCAACTACTAAGAGGTAAAATTTAGTTCTAAAGCAAAATAAAAGTTGTCTCCATCGAGTGTATAGTACAACTTCGAACCAGGATAGAATATCGAATCCAACCTTAGTGAAATGGAGATTGCAAATCGTGATTATTCAAAGCGGATTGTGGCTAACAGCTTAACGTATTTCAATTTAATTTGCCATAAAACCATTCATAACAATTTACAGACCAGACTCGCCGACTTCGACACCCACGATGCAAACTCAAAATGAACTGGAAATTGTCAAGCGCCACCAATCAACATGTCTTACTGCTCAAGGCGAAAAGCGGCTAACAAAAAGAAAATCTTGGTTTTTGGCGCATTACACAGCGGAAAGCTTAGAACTTAACGGCCTAGCCTATAACGTAATAAAGGAAGTCACGAAATATTTTTTTTACCGTCAAAAATAATAGACAGTGAGTTTTTCTATTCTTAGAGTTTTGCGCAAATCTGCGCGATGCTCTTTGACAGCCACGTGTGTGTCCTTTTTTGATCTACAGAGTTCTCTTCTTCGGACAGTGAGTCGCTTTCGCTTCCGCCACGCTCACGATACTGATCAGTTTAAAACCAACCAAGCTGTTACTTCTCTGTTACACTACCGGCCACTATTTCCTTTACTTATTTAAAGCCGGAAAATATGTTAATTTGGAGAGTGATGGAGTGATTCCAACTTGAGTACAAGAGGTACCATATGTACAAGACGTAATGCTATCTTTTCTGAGAGCTTCGCCAGTATGTGACATATCCTGTTTCAAGTTACTCTCGGAAATAGCTGCGTTGCAGCAACTTGAAGGTCATTCCTCAGGCATTTTCACTTTCCAGTCTTTTTCTTGCTTAGGTGTGAAAAAAGGGAAATAGCAGAAATTTTCAAACATTGGGAAACCTACCTCGTCGTAACACTTCTTTATGTTAACTGCGCGCAGTTTTTAACGTTTTGCGTCTTCGTTCCGTGTAAGTAAGAAAACGTTTTGATGGCTGGTAATCAACGGAACATTCTTTATTTCCAATTCCATAGCCTCATGTAAGAAAAAAATCCAATAATCTACTTTTGTATTAAGTGCCTAGTTTACTTGATGTTCCAACATTTTAACGCATTGTTCTCTCATTATCTTTGTTTGGATACATCAGTAAATGATTTAAATCAGTTTTAGATCGTGGTTTGATTACTTTCGTTTGCCTTTTTTTTTTAAAACTTATGGTCTTAAAAGCTAGTATTACGAAAATTGACCCCTCTTGGAACTTACTACAAAGGTAGCTTTGAACCGTAACTCCAATGATGTAGCTAGTAATTTACTTTGCATCTAGTTGCTTTCTTTTCCTTGTAAATCAGTATGGAGAGTCTAGTGTCATCGTGGAAGGATAACACCTCTCGTTTATTCATTTTGACCCTTACTACAGGAAACATCGATATCATAAAAAGGACTAAGGCGTGGTTTCTCGACTTTACAGCACAAGAGGACATATTTTCTTGGTTCATAAAATAAGTGCAAAAATGCATGAATGAAAAGTAAGCTTAATTGATTTTACACTAAATTGGTACAAAATTCTGCCGTGACAAGAAACCGCCGTTAAATTGACGCGCGGGCTCATTCAATATCTGCAACCATTTCTCACTTTTTCTTCAACTGAAAGCAAAAAAGGGAAAAACAAAAACCAAAGACCGATGGTGGTCTTATTGATTGTGAGGGCATCTAGAGGTCGAAACATTTAGCAACTTGCTGTGACTCTGGAAAGACCTTCGACACTTTGCTGGTGCCATTTTCACCTCACACTGGGTCTTGAACCGGTTTAAACCTCCGGTTAATCTTCTACTTAGAATGCTGATCCAATGATACACAATTATATCATCATGAAAAAACTTAAAAACCCCTTATTTCTTTCCTCAAAACGTTTTTAAGCATTATTCATTTACACTGACTAAAAATGAATTTCATATGATTCAGAAAGAACCATAAATTATTCCTAAATTTCGTGAGATATCGGTTATTGAAACTCGTGATCTTTCACCTTTCGTTCAAGAGGCCATAGAAATAATCTTTGCTTAAAAAAATAGATCTCCTTTTGAATTTAAATCAATATACCTTGTTCATGTAAGTATTTGTTAAGAGTGACATTTGATAATAAGTTTAATTTTTGCACTCAAACAATCATAAACTGATCATAAAGACAAATTGCCTACTTTTCTAATAACAATTATTGTACAGGCAAGTCAGAAATAGTTTTCGTTTAGCAATAAGATCACAGAGGTCGCGCGCCAGTTGTAAACGAAAGAGAGAGAGAATAAAAGATATTTGCGTAAGTAGTGTGAGGTCGTAACCCCACCCCATTTTAGCAGATTAGCACCTGGGCAAGCCGTGGTTTTCCTGTTTTGTTACGCCAAAAAGCCTGTCTTGTGATCACTAATTCACCGGATGTGCACACTTAAGTAGATATTAAGATCCTTTAAATCTTCCGATGGAATTGCTATTCAATACATTGGTTTTAGGAAGGAACTTCAACAGATAATGATCATTTTCGTTATTTTTCCAGACCTCTTAAACACCCGCCCAAATGTTACCTTCACCACTCCCCTCAGTGTGACAAGGCAAACGCATTCCCCATCCTGGTCCCGTCCGGTTTTCTCCGACCACCAACGAAAAACGTTGGAGGACCGCTTCCAGCGTCAACACTATTTGAATAAACGGGAGAGGTACTACTTATCGCTGTATCTTGGGCTTACGGAGCATCAGATAAAGGTTTGGTTCCAAAATAGACGAGTCAAGTGGAGACATTCGCAGGAAGGGAAAAAAGATCGAAATGCAAAATTGCACCGAGCCAAGAAAACTGCAGAGAAAAACTAATGGCTACGGAGAAGACGTGCAAGGGAAAAATTTACTTTCCGGTTGTGTTGGATTGATGCAAAAAGAAAAAAGAGGCATCGACTTGATTTCGCTTAACCCTTTAACCTTTAACCCCTGAGAGTGATAAACATCTAATTTCTCCCAATAGTGTCACTCCTAAGGTCATTAGATTTAAGGTAATGATCGCAAGGCCAAGAAGGTCTTGATTACGAGGCAACTTCTCCTTGTAAGTGTAGAGAAGAGAATGGAGAACTTCCAAACTGATGTTAGGGTGTAAAGGGTTAAGATGTGATTCAAGAGATTCGCCGTATGTGTAGTGTAAGTAGGCTCTCATTCGCGTGGGACGTTACAAGCTGTGAAGATGCAAGCCGAGACTGGAGAGGTGATATCTGCGAGGGACTGCAAACAGATATGTATGTGTGATATTATTTGTTTTTGAATTTTCTCACGCAAACACCCAATTTACAGATTATCTCGGGGTGTAGGGGGGAATTTCAGCTGCTCGCACGTAGAATGCCGCCTTCCCGGGTTTGTTTTGCTTTGAAAATGTCACTTCTTTAGTAAAGAAGTGTTTATGTACAGTCACTTGTTGTTGTTTTGGAAAAATAATGCTGTAATCACGCACTCATGATTAATAGTCGCACGTGTAAACTATCCTTTAGAGTTTCCTTTAGTTAGAGAATGAAATCTCCAATAAAAGTGGATGATAGGAATTTTCTATTTAACACTGTTCTAGTTGAATTTCGTTTTCAAAAAACCGTGGGCAAACAAAACAAATTTATTGATCAAGGGTGGGAAATGATATCAAAAATAAAAGGAAAAGCAGCAGTACAGAGGTAAAAAAATAAATGCCTTCGGACCCTGCTGAAATTATTCTGGACGAAACTTCAAATGTCAATCAAAACATAGGAAAAGCTCACAAGCAGGAAGCCAATGGAATTTCTCAAGTAAATAAATGCAAACTCCCTCGGGAGCGGGAAACGTGAGCAATCATGTCACGATTGGTTTAAGGTCTGTATCACATTGGTCGAGAAGGAGGAGCGAGTTTTGTGGACCAATCACAGAGCGTAGGAAGAAACACCCAGCACAAACCCATCGGCATTGGAGAAGGAGAAGAGGAGTTCTTAGGTTTGCCCCAGTTTCCTCACAGTTAGTTTCACCCCCCGTTATTTCTTACTGACAATGTTACAGTTTTCTTTGCAGCAAGAAGGAATTTTACCAGAATCAACCATCGATAACATAAACTAATAACTAAATTAAAAAATATAATATTTTAGAAAACATGACAACAAACAGTTATAAAACGGGTTTTTTATACTAGTATATGTCTCGATCTCAGATTACCAACAACTTTAGCTATAAACCGCGACTTACAAACCATTCTAAATATTTCGGATAAACGGAATCACAAAAAGTTACTCATTATGAGGTGATCTATTTACAAGACAGGTATAGATATGCTTTTGTAATTTTACAAAACGTCAGGCAAAATATTTGAATATGTGTTTCAGATTCTTCAAAAATAATAGGTTTTTTTTTTTTAGAAATAAATCTATCAATAGAATGCGATAAATTCTTGGTTAATATACCTCCTGGTATAAAATAGCTATCAAAGATTTCTCACATTTTTTTCCTTGAAAATTTTCGCTATGCAACTGTAAACTCGGTAAGGATTTGACAACATCATCATTTCAAGTTGCCATACAAAGAGAAATAACTCAGTTTTGTTTTCCAACGTTCGCGAAGCGTTTGACGGTCTTGAAGGCTTGTTAACCCATTACCTCCCTGACGTGATTAACGTGTAACTTCTCCCTATAATATTCATACATTATCGTGCAAACAGGTAATGAGAATACTTAAACTCATCAGGTACAAGATATTACTTTGATTGAACAACAAATTCTCGTCACCAATTTACAAGGAAATGTGTAACAGCTAAAGGGGAGAATTAACAATCAGATCTTAGGAGTTAAAGGGTTAAACTCTAGTGGGCGCAGTAACTGTAACTCTTCCAACTTTCATCACCTGAGGTGGAGGAGGGGGGGGAGGGCGTCTTTGTTCAGCCTCCTTTTCTCTCGCTTCCCGTTTTTTACGTCCTCGAGTCGGCAGCGTGCTAGCGCGTTCTGACGATTTGTCCTGACCGTAATGATTGACAAGTTGTCTGTATCGCTGCTCGGCGGGAAAGTCAATGAGTGCTTCTTTATTATAAGTGTGTTTAAACGCTGGACCATCATATTCCGATAGATTGTAGTCACCTCGCTTGTTTTTTCCGATCCTAAAAGAGTTGATGAAAGATTATTACACACATTAAAACCAAACCGTGAGTGAATCGTTAATCAAAGTTTAAATTACTTCCTCATAATCTGAGGTTTTAAACCTGTGATTAAGCGTTTTCTTTGTTTATTTTTTGGTAATTTTTTATTTGTTCCTTCGTACGTTTGTTTCCGTGGTCTTCCAAAGAAAAGAGTACGAGTGATAGGTGTTAGCTCTGTAGTTACATAAGGAGTTACATGAAACAAAAATAATGAATGAACACTCACTTAAACACAGAACTGATTCCTTTGTAGAAGGGCTTTTTTGCACCAAGCTTCTGTTGTACTGCTGTGAAATCAGCATTGCTCCTCATCGTTATGGGTACTTCTTGCTCGTCCGAAGGACTAAACCTTGCGTGACCATTCTGAAAGTCACCTGTAACGCAATAAACCAGTTCATTCAGAACAGTAAGAAAATAGTCCATAAACTAACCGTATCATGACTTTATTCTGTTGAGGAACATCCACATTTCGGAAAATTTAAATGCAGTAATATGGTAAAAACAATGTCACAGCTGACCTGGATAAGATCGGTTCGCATTTTCCACTGCGCTTGTGAAACTCAAGTTATCGTTACTTTTGGCCCTGCAAATGAAGAAGAAGCCCTTGTCAGTAATAATTTCCTTCTTGCTGTAAACTACATGCAACAAAAGAGAAAGAAAATCTTGATCTGCTCCTAAGCACTATGACAAAACACTAATTCTGCCGTAATATGATGTTTTAGTTTCTTAAATTTGACTGCTTACTTTTTCTCCTTGGCTTTTGTAAGTCCCACAAGTTTCAATTGTCCAGTCGAGCGACTTTTTGTCATTCTACCATAAGGAGAAGGTCGTTTTTCCTCTTTAGATTCTGCCAAAGGCGAGAGACAAGCAATTAATTAATTAACTTTCTTGCAAACGAGATTTATTGTGACATGAAAAACACCTGCTACTTGAAAGAGACTAAAACTTTCAGTTAGGTACGGTATAAAAACACATTAAGACAATGAAATGTCGAGAAGGAACAAGGACGGCTACTGATGGGGAAGATAAAAAAGGATTGTAAATAGAAAAACAATCAGAACGTACGAATAGTTAAAGCCCTTTTTGAACCCATTGATTTCCAGTAAGGCAACTACAGACAATTTTAAGTGGTTTTCACGGGTTTTACGGCGTAAAATCCAAGGAAACCATTTGAAATTGAGGACAGTCTTCCGTTTGTTATAAGAGATGAATAAAAAATTTTAGATCTGGATATCGAACTTACTTTAAAGGCTCCGGTTGTTGTACTCTTATATCACAGTGCACCTACAACGCCTCACCTTCCTCCAATTGATGTCGTAGCTGCTCATCATCTGAGTCAGCCCTTCTGAGAGGTTGGCGTGTAACTGTCAGCCCAGGTTTTTCCTCGTCGATTTCACCATCCTCTGACGGAGACGAATATTCTACAAATAAAACCAGAAACAACCAAAGAGTTAAAATAAAACTGGCGACAGAAATCAACCTCAAATCAACAAGGAAACAAAAGCCACACGAAAACAGCGATCAAATAAACATAAGTGAGAATAAATTTACGAGCTCTCGTTCAATTAATGCTCGCTCAAGCTCTGCTAAGTTGATCAGTTTAAAGCCACTTTTGGCCAAATTTAGTACCAAACAAGGTCAATTGACCCGGAAAACCATCAACTAGCATCTAATTTTAACCTTCAATAAATCTTCCTTAATTTATTTCTCTACTCTTGTGACCGGTTTTCTGGATAACGTATTGATATTGCAGGAAGGAAGTACTTGTTCATGATTAGTAGTGGTGAAAAGATGATTGACATCTACCGACCTTCATTCCTGTCTTGTTCTCGTTTCACAAAGAATTCTGATTGCCTTGCATCCAGGGTTGCTCGGCCTCGTTTTTCCGACATTGACGTCCGCCCAAAGCCGTCCCTTTGAAACGGGTTTTCCTCGGTGGAGAAGGGACTGGGAGGAGCAATGATGGAGTTCTCCGCATTCTCTTCCGTCAACGATTTCCGCTGTTCTCTCGGCGTCGCATGCTCCGAGCTGACTGACGCGTGTGGGGACCTACCAAGGCGGGCCACAGCTTGATCATAAGAAGGAGGGCATTCCTGGGAGGGTGACTGGTTCGAAAACTGCGAGGGCGGAGATGGGGGTTTGGAATTGGTGCCTTCCTCTTGAGGTCTCTCAGCATCTGGCATTTTGAGCCTTAGCTTAAGCCTTGCTTGTAAATTGTAATTATTATTCGCAGAAGGATCTACCTCTGAGTCCCATCTCGGCGGGGGCTGAGGAGCAAGTGGTTTAACAGGTGCCTGTGAGGGACTAGAAGGTTTTTCGTCGGTGCTTTCGAGAGGCGGTGTTGGTATGGCAATGGTACTGATGGGCCTTCCTGTGAGTACATTTGCTCCACTTTCGATGCCATTTTCAGATCGACCATCCATCGGCGTTGACGTTCTTGTCGGAGAACTGGTAGCAAGGGGTGGCACTCGATCATTTGCCATTGCTAAAGGACTAGGGCGATGGACTGGGCGTTGCCTGAAGGGGCTATAAAATGGAGAACCAGGTGTTTGGCTCTTGTTGACAGCCACACAGTACGAGTCATTTCGGTGAACTGCGTTTCTCGCTCGAATCGGGCTCAGATTCCTGCTGACCATTGATTCATTAAATTGGTCCTCCTGACTACTTGGAAGTCCTACGTTTGATGACGAAAAGTAAAATAATGCAATTATCACTTAAAATCTTTACAACTCTAAACTTTGAAGACTTAACCGCAACTAGGAGGCAATACAACCAATAGAGGGCTTCACTTACGTTCCTTTTTGAGAGAACCACCATCTGTCTCGGAAGTGCGTGATTGTGATCCCCCGATGAGTCTTTCTTCGGAGCTCGCCTCAATGGGCCTCTCTTGATCAGGCGCATTGAGCCTCTCCAGGGATTTACTATGAAATAACTCCCCAGGAGGTGGTGGAGCCTCTTCTTGTTCGCGCGCGATTGTCACATCAATGAAGGCTTGATTAGGTCTTGTGGACTGCATAGCGATTCTTAGCGTATCCATAGCGGACTGGTTTGTTAACCCGACTAGCGATTTACCATTTACACGGAGAAGTTGATCGTTTGGGCAAAGACGACCATCTTTTGCTGCAGCGCCGCCAGGAATGATGGACTTGACGAAAATTCCCTTGTCCTGAGGACTGTCTCGACCTTCCACAGTTGTACCGCGTGATTTGCCTTTAACACTCACCCCTAGGCCTGCCGCGCCAGATACGTCCAAAGCAATTTTGAACGTAAGAACTTGGAGACCGTCCTCTCTAAAATGACTCATACTGTCTTCATTTACCTTCGGGGGAAAAGAGAAAAAAGAG